AAGTCCTGTTTTGAGGAAAAAATAATAAGTTCGGTCGGTAATAAGCGGAGGCGAAGACAATGGCGAAATAAAAACACTCGCATCGCGATAATATTGTGTGTATGCTTATAAATGTTATATTATCCTAATTAATTATTATTTATCAATTATCAGTAATATGTTTTTACAATGTGTATATTAAAAACATCAAACACAACGGAAACGTCGAGTGTTCGAAAATCGGTTTTTGTTTTTCTAATGCCTTTTTTTTTACTTCATCGTATAGACGTTATTAAAATTATTAACACTACACGCAACTTATATGATATATATCAATTATAATTAACTTAAGGTACTAAAGTCTACAATATAATATATATATATATATATATGTATAAGTATACACATAGATATATATATATATTATACATTACTTAATATGTATATAATAAAATGTCTTAGTATGTAATTACACATAGTTATAATATATATAGTTACACGTTGAAAAAAAAAGTAAACAAACGGTTGGTATACAAAAGTCGGTAGGTATATTATATATTATATTATAATGCGACGAGTTGGGGGAGGGGGGTGACTAGAAACATATATTACAATATTAACGCAATAATAATGATAATAATAATAATAATAATCATAGTAATACATGTAAACAAATAAACACGTGTCAGTTGAGGAGGAGTGGTGATCGAAAATCGGTTGACGATCGCCGTATATGAGTATATAATATCAAAATAGTAATATTGATGGTATAATAGGAAGGAGGTACCCGTTTATTATAAAACAGGTCGTGGTTGCTTGTATATCATGTTTTTTTTATTTTCGAATTTTTTGGTTATAAATTATCGAAAAATTATATTCACGTTAAAATAATAAATAATATATATTATATATTTGTATAGGTACATCGTACATGGAAGAAAGCGCAAATCGCGTTCTGGGGGTGAGGGAATGAAATTTTTTTGTTGGGTTTGTGGGGGAGGGGGGAGTGGTGTAAAAATCGAAAGTAAAAAACTAATTCAAATACAAAAAACACAGGTACAATCTCATATAATAATATAAATATATTTTGTACACGCGCGCGCGCGCGCGCGACACGTAGTTCGATGATGATACGTATTATAATAATATAACATTTGTTTTTGGGTCATCACTGGTAGGCATCGTATACAACGATGACGAATCGAACAATGTTTGGGTGGGAGCCGGAATCGTAGAAAGTCGAAAGTCTTACCAAAGACGACGAGATCGAAAAACGAATCTTGGGTTTCGCACGGCGATAGAGGATTTCATCGGACGACGGCGCACACGAAACGGTTAGGCTGATTCGAGATTAGGTAAGATATAAATTATTTTATTATTTAAATTCATTATTTTAATATCTCACGATATTCACTCGGTCGGCGTCATGCGAATAGGCTCTGCCAGGGAGACGATCGACGAAAACCGGAAGAGTATGGAAAAAAACCGTCCGGAAGTAGGTGTTGGACGAGTAAAGTTCGAATGACTTTTTCGGGTCGGTCGGGTTGGTCGGTGGGGGTGGGTGTTGGTGTGGGCGTGGGCGATGGGCTCGTCGCGTGACGACAATATTATTATAATACGGTGTGTGTGTGTGTGTGTAAAGGTACGGCGAAGTATATTTTAAGTACATATAATGATTACGCGATTTTGCGATCGTAGTTCAACGACAAATTAATTAATTATTATATCAAATGTATATTATTTGAACGACGAGTGGGTCGTATGTTGTAGGCGGAAAGCTACACGTCGCAAGGACAATAGAAAAGACAGTAATTAAAATGACAATGACAATAATAATAGTCATAGTACGCATGAGTATTGTATTATTAATATTACGATGCGATGATGTCGGAGGTATCTACGCAGCCCTATACATTATTTAATATGGAATGTCTGGCCATTGGGAAATACCTACCTATTACCTACCTACCTATCTACCTACCTACATAGTAATTATTAATTATCATCATCATTATTATTATTCTTTTTTTTTCTCTCGTTTTTGATTATCATAGGCTACACCGCAATAATAATATTATACAAACATAATGATATTGTGTACTCAACATTTCATATATCTAAATGCAACAAGTGACGGTGCGTCGACGATATTATTATTATTAATATAATAACAATATTCGGCGTCGTCGAACGCACACTTTTTTTGTTTTTTTTTTTGACATAACATTGTTGTAGTCGTTCACTCAGAGGTGTTGTACAACGAATACAACAACAACAATAATAATAATAGTAAGTAAGCCTATCGACAGTAGAGTTAGGTGACATAATATACACAATACGTTCGACACTATTGCGCGCGATGACATTGTACAAATATTATTATTATTATATTATATTAAACACATCATAATAATATTACTTTTTCGGTGGCTTAACAAGTAATTTGATCATTTGGGTGCGATACACAACACTAACCGTACTCCATACATTATTATCATTGCCACGATGCGATGACGTCCGCTACGTTCGACGACCGCGACGTCATAGTACTACAAAAGTACAAAACGTTTATTGGTAATACTATGACATTGTAATTATAATGGCGTCGGAACAATAACATCATAATATTAATATTGTAATAAAAATATTATTATTAGGTGTTACTGTGGTGGCGCAAACCTGACGCCGCCCCGCGGTCGAGAATTTAATATAATTATTATTATTACAGCACCAGGTCTGTCACCGGCGCCTCGCGGTTACGAATACGGACGATCGACAGACATTTTGACGCCATAAGAATATTGTGGTATTATAATGACGTCGAACGAAACGGACAAGTCAACTGTTGTTCGATTAATAGTCGAAAAAACAAAATAAAATGTATACAGACAGTCATAATAATATCAATAATATATATATAATATATATATATATATATAGGTATACCGTAATGTTATAATATATATAATCAAGTTATCGCGATAAATTAATGTCTACGAATTATTAATAATAATAATAATAATAATAATAATAATAGTTATCATAATAATAATAATAATATATAATAATAGGTAATTTAAAATTTATAAATAAAACTAATCGTAAACTTATCGAAATTATTAATTTAATTTAATTTAATTTTTTTTTGTCGTTTTTTTCTTTGTTTTAATTTTTTATATTTAATAATAATAATAATAATAATAATAATAATAATATATAAAATTGGAACATCAGGTTAATACGCACTAGGACAAGATTTCTCTCTCTCTCTATATATATATATAAACATATTTATATAATATATATTATATATATAATAATATATACCGTCTACGTTTTGCGTAATATATACGTATACATTAATAATATATAAATATAATAACAAATAAGGGATTTGNTGGGTGGGTGGGTTATTGGGTTTGTGGGTGGCTTTCAAGGGGGGTTGTATCGACGTGTGTCGTGTGACAACGTGTTACAAAATATTACATACAGTGCACACGAGATACAATAATATTATAGTACAGCTACCTATGTTATATTTGTGATGATATTTTGTTCGGTACATTGTTATCAATTTACGTCGAATATGATATCCTATTTATAAACGTGCCGGGTGAAAAAAAAAAGTGACATTATTTATAATTTATATAATAGTTTAAGTGAACTAGTTAATAATATTGTTAAATTAAATGTATAAATTATACGATTTAAAATATTTCAATGTACAATTTTTTTCAATTTTAATCATCGTAAAATAGAAACGATAGTTATATCATGATAAATATAATTACGCGTTTAATAATATGACGTAGTAAAACACTTTTTTTCATTTATTTTTTTTTTCCATCGAGAGATATGTACGAAAAGATTTCAATATAACAACACATTATTATAATATTATTTTGTATTCGACCGGACGAAAAAAAAAATTGTTTGATTTCATAATATTATTTTGTCGACTCGTGCCGTGTTATACGATTATATTATATTATATTATATTTTGTTTATATTATAATATTATTATATTATTATGTTACAGCTGTAGTATATATTGATTCACTCGATTTACAAATATAATTCAGTGTCACATTTATACAATATTTTGTTAAACGACTATATTATATAATAATATTGTGTAATCTAAACAGAAATTGAGCATACAATAAAAAAGTAGCGTTTGCCCTGAATATATATATAGTATAATGGCAATAATTTGACGTACACAATGTTTTTTTTTCTCAGTTTTGTTTGAATAAAAATAGTAAAAACTTTCGAGTGAAAATCAATTATATAATGATAAAACGATTTGCTCTTGAGGTAAATATATATTATATTGTATATATAAAAAAAAACTCGACGTTACTTGTACGAAAAAATCAGATAAAAAACAACTATACGATCGACGGGAAAGGAGTCATCAATGACAGTAGAAAAAAATTATGAAACGTTTTTGAAAAAAAAAAATAAACGAAAAGTCGAAGTATGACGATGATGAGAAGGGAACGGCGACGACGACAACGACGAGGCTCTATATTATGCGTAATATAATATATTATAATTATTTAGTCCTGCAGTGGGGTGTGGAGTATAGCAGTGACGCGACGATGTAGGTCAGTAAGTACCCACAATATGGTCTCCGGGGTATTATATTATAATATACTATATTATGTATCATAATATTATACGGTAAAACACAAACGATAAACGGTAAGCATATTTTATATAAATATCTTAATAAAATGGCAGCAAAAATGGGAGTTGAGATCGTCTAATAGTAATAATAATAATAATAATAATAATAATGTATATAGTGGGTTTAGTAAAAAAAGAAAAAAAATATTAAAAAAAATTAATCATGACTAGATTTTCAGTTCAATTATTTTATAGCGGCGCCCCGTGTATGTATACGACGACAATATTATTATTATTATGCATATTATTATATAAATGAATATACGACACGACACGTATATATGTACTACTTCGTGTGGCGTGCGATACGTCGTGATGATGAAGGTATTATATAATAATAATATTACATTAATCTACACAACAGTCGGCTTTAAACGTGCTCTTCGTCGTCTCCTCTACTGCTCCTCGTCCATCTCGTGTTCGCCGTCCCGGCTGTACATGTCGGCCAGTTTGTCGAAATGCGAACCCCAAGACACCAAGTACTCGTAGTCTTGGTGGTCGTCCTCGGTACCTGTAAAAGCGGCAAAAGTGATGTGCGATTAATAAACACCGTCGGTTACCAATATTTTTATTCTACTGTGTGCTGAGCAGCTGCAGTAGAACGAGAATCAAATTTTGTATTTGCAGTGGGGCCCCGAGCCGATTACCATTAAACCGGGTGGACAGAAAACAAAAACATAGCCCCACAACCTCCGTGTAGTATTGGAGACGTAAGAATAGGGGTGCACATACTAGTCATGGGCGTATTACGGGGGTGGCCAAGTGGGCTACAGCTCCCCCTAAACTTTTTCTTGGTTTCATTTTTAGAAAAAACCTTTTCACCCTTTCGGGAAAAGCACGAGGTCATCAATATATTACACGTCTTATATGGCAGACCATAACCACTTAGCTACACACAATTGAATTCATTTTAATTTTTAACCAATTATATATTTGTAATGTATGTCGAAACTTAGCGATCTAGGGTCCTAGGGACACAACAGTTTATTCTTTTTGAAAGGTATGAATTACAACTAATAAATTCATACTTTGCACGAGACCATTATGTGAAATCTATTTTTCAAACACTTTAAACACCCGTATTATTATTATGAAATTAATTGATGACATATTTTTTTGTTAGTACATGAAAACTTACTTTTTCATAATTACAACACAATATAATATGCATGATGAGTGTGCGCATATAAATTATAATACATAAATTCATCTATTCACGTGGATATTTTTTGTCTTTGGTTTTTGGTAGTTTAGTCGGATAAGCTTATGAACCACTCCTCAATAACTATGTATGGAAACTAGTGTATATCAATGTCCACTGTATATTTTGCCTACATATTCAGTAACCCTTCTAGTGACCACCGTCGACTTCAAAGTTAATCAAAGCAAAAATATTATAGTCTCGGTAGATGTTTAAAAAAGTTTGACCACCCCTGATATTAGTGTAGTAGTGTGACGCCGTATAATTTACCCGTGTTTAACGATGACAATGATCCGGCAGTGCTGCCGCCTCCTTCGTAAGCATAATTGCGCAAGTCGTCGAACGGCGGGGCGTTTGGATCGCCGTCCGCGCGTTTCTTGTGGTCTTCGATGAACATGCCGACGTTGGGTTCCACGCCCACGGGCATCGCTGGATCTATAATAACAGTCCGATGGTTAGGTACTCCATAATAATATAATATAAACAAAATACAACTTTGTAGTTAATACTTATTACTAGAACAATTTGAGGGTGGCGCAATTGATGAAATCACCACCGCTAGTATTTTTCTCCACACTGACTTTTGTGATTTAAATCGAAATTATTTGTACTACCTACTTACAGTGTAGTAGTAGTTTCTTATTTTTATGTCAAACACTAAATTACACAGATTACCCACCCCTTCGAGATAATCTTGTGACGGGGTAGAGAGCTAAACGAGCTTAAGACTAAAATCAGAAGGACCATGACATTTATACTTTAAACTGTAAGAGTTAATTTGGCTTGCTAACTATTGTGACTCATATACATAATATCATTAACGTTCCAAACTCTTGACTAACTCAAGTGCGTTTTTTAATCAACTCGACCATATTTGTATAGGTATATTATGTTACCTACCTATACTCGTTACAGTTAAATTAAGTGTGCATATGATACGTACATTTATATTTTTGAGGGTGCATGTTGTTCATTGACCCGCCGATGGGTATCTGCAACGGTGTGATGTCAAACGCGGTCATGTCGTCTTCGCCGCCGCCCTCGTCGTCGTAGTTGATTATGTTCTCTCTGACGTCGTCGTCCGGTCCGGGGTACTTGATGTGTGACTCGCGTCGCCGGTTGTACACAACGAACATCAACACCAGAACTGCTCAGTGGAAAACGATAAAAGTGTCAAACAAGTTGTGCTGATAAACGTGTTAATAGTGACGTAAGTATTTTGGAAAATCTTTTTTATTGTACCGACAAAAGTGTGCAATGATAACGCCTAGGTATACCTATATGATGTGAATTTGCATAATATCTGTTATTTTGGAGATAGGTATTACAGTTGGTGATATCTATGAATAATAAATTGTGCGAGTCACCATGTAACACGATGATGAATTAGGTGTTTATGTTTAAGAATTAGGGCTTTGATTTGATTTCGAAATCAATTTTAAGTATCGATAAAAATATATTAAAACAATAATAGCTGTATGATTTTTGTACAAATTAATTTAACACAGTAAAAAACAAGATTAAAAAATGCTTATGATAGCTCTATAATATTATAAATCGATTTAAGTCATACCTAAGCGATAACTAATATTTTATTTTTCAAGGATAGTTTCGCATTAAAAGAATGTATTATAAGTAGAAATAGTATAAAAATGTAAAAATTATATTTTAAATCGAAAACAGAGAAAAAGAAAAAATGTGTTGTTTAAAATCACTAATATGATTAAAAATCAGAAAACAATTAAATTGATATTGCGCAACAATGTAAAAATCAGAAAAATATAAAATTAATAAATTATTTTTCAGAAGATTTTTTGAGAATTTTTCGAAATCACCAAAACTAATTTCAATAAGCGAAATTTTAATAAAAGTTCAACAATTTTTAAACTTTGATTTCAGCCCTGCTACGAACAAAATTAAAAAAATAAAATCAACACTTCGACTATTCTTATTCAACTATCACATTTTTGGGAGCTTAAACGGATTATATTATTTTAAATATAATTTCAAAACAAAGCTTGTACGAATAGGAAAAAACTAACGATAAAATGCGATGTACATTTAATTCGACGTATAGTTAAAGACGACTGATCGCAACTGCGCACTTACTGAGGATGATGAGGAGACACACCAGTATGGCGGCCAGTGCGCCCATTCCAAGTTTCAGTTTCTGGCCTTCTTGGACCAGTTCGCAATTCTCGCCCCAAAAGCCTTCTGGGCATATACAGCGATAACGGATCCTAGGGTCTTGATTTAGGCAAACGCCACCATTCCTGCAAGGGCTGTCCAGACACTCGTTCTTGTCCACGCATCCTTTGCGGTCCGGGGTCATGATCCTCCCTTCGCCGCAACTGTATAATAATACGTAATGTAGAAAGTCGAAATCGGTTTTGTAATTTAATTATTGGGGTATTACTACAAGTTAGTGCATTATACTGCAGGTTTATCTAAAATGAATCTCATCCTATATGTTTTGAGCAACTAGGTAATCCCTTGATATGTCATTACTTTTTTGGGGATAGGTTAAAGATAAATAACGTTCTATTATCATTATTAAGGTTTGGAAGTTATAGGGGTTGCATATTGTTTTGTATGCTGTCGAGTTATAGCAGACCAAGCTAGAAATCCGAGCTATACAATGTTGAGTTTAAAAATTAAAAATTAATAAAGCATATTTTGCATATTTCGATAATTTTGGAGAAAAAGTGCATATTTTATCGATTTTCATTGATTTTCGCATATTTCTCAAACGCCAACCGGTAACTCACCATATTTTTTATTTTTTTATGTGTATAAGAGTTGTAAATAATACAATTTTTTTAAATATGTGTTTTTGAGCTATATTTCTTATTATTTTTTTATATATAAGAGTTTAAAGTAATACAATTTTTTTAAATATATGTTTTTAGAATTTTTTTCATGTATATTAATAAATAAGTAACACACTTTTAATAAATAAATACATTTTTTTTGGCATATTTCACATTTTTTCACGCATATTTTATAATATTTTCTTGCATATTTGCATGTATATTTTGCTTTTTTTGCTCTTATAACTCCCGAACCCTAATCATTATCATCAACCACTGGGGAGCTGAACAATAATATTACTCGAGTCGATTACAATACGGATATGCATGAAATAAATTTGAGTTCGACTACATACAATGTTATTCTTGTGACCAAGTGAGGCCACATAGAACAAATGTATAGGAGTATCATTAAGGACATGTTTTAATTTTATGTTTCATATAATATATATATTGCTCATAACCTAAACACTTTTAATATGTATAAGCAAGAATTTATTGAATTATTTTGAATAATCCTGCAGCAGTATAATATTGATAGGCATAGCCATAACGATATAACTGTCGGATACCATGGTGGTGTTGATGAATATTACTCACGTGCAATCGTAATAGTTCCAAAGATCGACGCATTCGAAAGGCTCCTGGCAGATTACGTTGGCGCACGGTTTGTTCGATGGGCAGTTCCTCTCGACGTTTCTGGCCATGGTAGCTTGTCCCCACTGAGTCCCGTTGGTTGCCGGTGGCAACGGAAGATATCTCCCCTCCAAACGTATGTCATCCAAACAACCTTTAATGATTTTACATATTTAGTCAACACTCGGTAACTTGAACCTTAATAACTCGAAATTCTCGATGTCTCGAGTACATAATATTCCCATTCAAATTGTTGTAACATTTAATGTTTAAATAAACTTGTTAACAGCTCGAAAATTAATTAGACTAGTTTTTAATAAATCGAATTAGGTTCCATTTACCAAGACTGTATAATATATAGGTAAACGTCATAGTAATACGAATTCAACATGAACCATCATCTTATAAGATACGTGGTTTAGTAGGAAGATTCACTTTCTTATAGTTATATCTACTCACGAAACGAATTTAAACGGTTTCTATAATGTACCTGAAATATGGAAACATACAAATAATTACTAACTAAAAACCCGATTCCCATTGATTTGCTTCATAAATAAGACAGCTCAAGTTAGATGTCACACATTTCTAACGATTTGACTCAAATTATACACAATTATAACAGTTATTACAATCATTACATGATCAGAATATTAGCCATTCTCGACGATATTGTCGCCTTTCTAACAAAATAAAAGTATTCCTCGAATAGGTCTTATGACAGCTTAACAAAGACACAGTGCTAATAAGTATTTTTTTCTCAATTTATATTGTCCCTTAAGATGTCACTTTCTCCTATCAATTTACCTTTTTGGAAGTCACCGTATACTTCAAACGTTCGAACGCCCGTGTACTCAGCCTTTCCACCGGCGTACACTCCTTCTTGCTTGTCCACCATTAACCACTGATGTCCCTCGAATCGATAAGTTTCGTTGTAATGCTTTCCTTCTCCACCGTCTAGTTCCAAAATGGCTGATGAACCGTACCTCGACACTTTGGCTGTATGCCATTTGCCGTCGTCGACGGTCACGGCGCTAAGCCATACGTCCCTTTCCTCGGTCCGCAAGCTGTTCAAGTTGTATCGGAAATGTAGTTTGCTGTCTTTAATCTGCAAACAGGATATAATATTGTCGAATACATTAGTACACTATTTCCATTTGTATTTCAAAAATAATTTTCATAAGACACATATTAATTAGTTCATATCATTTTTTTAAACTGTTTCGCAGAAGTACAAATAACAATTTTCATTGAAATTATAATTGTAAGTAAACCCACTGAACGGCTAGAAAATCGACTTTGGGTCGAGAGGATCATATTGCTATATTGCTAATGGAGTATAAAGAATGGAGAAAAAAAAACCGTATTTAATTTTGAAAATACGAATTACGACATTTCAAAGTATAAACCAGAGCATCTCTTACAAGTGGGGGACACCAGACGTGAATTATCAGACCTGCCAAAGCGAGCACCTCCTCGTCACCCCAAATCAATTTTCTCACACAAAGAAATATTTTTAATATTTCAATAAATAGTGAGTTCAACTTATATGACAACCAGCCATTAATAATGATTTCCATTCGACGAGTGGATTGTGGATTACTCAGCAATATAAGTAATATATATAATAACAATACTAATAATGATATCGCACCTCGAGAATAGCGTATTCGCGGTTATGTTGGTCACTGACTCTGAACAACTCGCCGTGCTCTTCACGCGTCCTAAAACGCAACTGGATTTTGGTCATGAACTTGTCAGCGTCGAATGATAGGGCGTACTTCACGTAGCTCTGAGGCCGGAACGTGGTTGGTATTGTGGGCGTGAGACAATCGGCGCCCGACCAGCCGGGGCTGCACTCGCACCGTGGTTCCACCATGCTGCCCACGCACGATCCGTGTTCCGAACACCTGTGGCCGACCAACTGCATGCACAGATCTTCGGTTTGTGGACATCCGGCAACGCTGTTTCTGGTGAGGCCCGGGTTGGCCAAATCGTAGAGCTACAAATCCACCGAACGACATGTATTAGTAAATCAGTAATATTTTATGCTAATTATCAGGGATGCGTATATTTCTAAAACTAGCTAAGATCTACGACGTCAATAAGATTCAATAAGACCTATTTGCGCAAGTGTTCTATAGATTTGAGCAATATTATACTTGTGTGAAATGTTAAACAGAAATTGATATCCTCGCATAATAAGGTGCCTGCTAATTATCATGTTACTGACGCATTCACGCTTGAACTTGGCGACGGTAAAATAACAATATATGTAAAATGAAATAATGAAAACCGATAACAATAACATATATTGTCATCATCATCGTCATCTACTAAAATCATCGAGCGTTACCTTGCTGTTGTGATAAACGTTTTTGATGCAGCCATCAAACCCTTTGCCGTATGGAGCGGATTGCCAGTGATAGTGGGTGGGATCGAAGTCCTGCACGTACCGGCCACCGATTTGCAATGGTGAATTGATGTTCAAGTACTCATTGAACGGTGGTATTGTGCCCTGGGCCTGGCACGAGGCATCGTCGAACTCCGGATGAGAACCGTCTTCCAGTTCTGTGATGTCCGCCGAACGGCAGTTGTCAACCACCAAACGGATGTTCTGAAAAACAAAAAGAGAGAGTCATCATCCACTCGATATTATAAAATATTATATACATTATAATATAAATTCAAATATGTAAATATGGCTAAGCGCACGAAATTCGTAGCCCGTAGGTGAGCGAGATACGTACCTCAGTGTCCCAGAATACGTCTATTTTGTGCCATTCACCGTCGTCCAAGCTCTTTTTTGTTTTAACCTTAAGTTCTAGCGTACCGGACCCGAAATCAATGAGCAAACGTGGTTGACCCCTGTCCAACTCAACTGATATGAAATCTGCAAACAAACACAATATATTTCTTATTACCTTTATCGATTAACTGATTAATTTTACAGCACTTATTTGTTACAGGTTATAAGAATCAAAAAAAATTGCACTCTTTTTTGAAGAAATTATGTTTGAATTACTTTAATAGTGTACCTACATAATAGTGATATTCTATATTGAATAATTGATCATGTTACTATAATATATATTATTCTGAATTGGTAAATTGTTCATATTTTAATATAGGTTGCTTATATCATTGACAACAGTTATCTTAAAGTTGAATGAATTAAAAATAACAATGAATCATATTTTAAATTTTAAACTGAGTATCAGTTCATACTTTTTTAGTGCATGCGTAGATGCTCGTTGAACGTTTTTAGGGGATTAAATTCACAGTTTACTCATTTTTAAACGGTATGATATTTAATGTTTAAAAAAACAACACATAACAGATGTCAATTTTATCATTGACCCACACGACACACATACCTGATACAAGTGTTTCTTCGGGTTCTGGTGGAACGATGGGACCGTTGTACAGCATGAGACCGTCTGCTTTTCTCGTGACGAACTCAAGGCTCAAATGAGAGTTGTCGCACATCTCCAAAGGCGGGTACCAAGCCCATCCACTACCCTTGAAGCTCCTGGCTGTCTGCTGGCATCTGGGTCCGTTAAAGCCGTTCGGGCATTCACACGTCGGTCCGTTCCTGGTGTCCGTGCACCGCCCGCCGTTCAGGCATGGGCTCGATCGGCACGTATCGATTTTCGTGAAGTTTCGGGCCCCACAAGTGCATTCCGCATAGGTATCTATTCGGACGCCGACCAGTGCCGTCTTGTTAGCGTTCACCATGTACGGCAGAGTGTTTATTTCGAACACGTTCGTGCAACTCCCTTCACAGTTCACATACTCGTACAGGCACTCGTCGATGCCCACCATGGTGATGTTTATTCCCACGTCCTTTTCAATCTAAACGGGGGGGAAAAAAAAAATAAAAAAAATCCATGATGACGATTTTGATGTCGCAGAATAGCGATAAGCGCAAATGTTTTTTTCTCGACTGACCCATCTATAGGTAATATTATATTATTATATGATCAGGGACTGTCAAACAGTCGATCGTCATCAACGGGTTAATTCCCGACGATTTAAAATTTTCAAACTCCAAACTCGATCCCTCTTTAAAAAAACTTAATATTCAGATGCATAGTCACTATATCTACAGTCTACACGTCAAACAGTTTTGAAGTATTATTATATTCCCCGGATCCTGATTGAAATGATAGTAATTAGTAACTACATATTGGCGCGCAAAAATACTATGGACTTTTAATTAAAACTTTTACCTAGCATATTACATTTTTTGTAAGCTTTGATAATAAAACAAGTATTGGAGATCAAACCAATCGTCATACCTCTTCGCGGTGCATCAAGACCAGACCGTTGAGTTTCACTGTTTTGTAGTAAGGCGATCCATGAGCAGAGAACCTGATGTCGGTCAACGGGGGATACTTTTGTTTCAACTGAACACTGAAAATGTCGATATTTTCCCTGGGCGTGTTCAAAATGTCCACGAGCTTATCTTTGAATTTATCGGCTTTGCTTCTAACCAAGCTCTGCGTCTAATAACGTAAGAAAAAAAAGGAAAGTGTTAGCGTCGAGAGTATTAAACGATCGTTTGGCGTTCGGTGTTTACTCTGTAGTTCCATATCCTGATGAAGTCTTCGTCGGATATGCCAGCAATACGTATGGACCCCGCGTTCATCACCGCCTCGGGTGAAATTTCTTTCACTGTAACAGTGACGTTCGCAGAGATGTCCGTTTGTGTGTGCTTGCGGTCGTACACTTTGAACCTCAAATGGTATTGTCCCTCTCTCGTACCGTGGCGCATCATGATCATTCCCGTAGTGTCGTTTAGCTTGAACCGAGGATGTTCGGTGCCGTCAGGGTAGAACTTTTTGTCTGGCAAGTCCCAGTCGTCCAAATCGTACACGTATACCCGACCGATTTCCGTGTCCGGAGCTTGGCCCTGAATTGATTTATAACAATTTAATATTATTAGAATATTATAATGATAATAATACTATATGATTACGAGGCTATTTTATTAACTAGATTCCATGTCTTATAGAACAATATATTCAATACATATTTAAAAAAAAAAGTAAAACGCTCCACGTTTACGACAATATTTGTTATATAAATTAAAAAAATTATCATTTACCATGTAATTGTAAGCAAATATTTCTTTGGATCCAGGTTGCATTTTGTTATCGTTTACATCTCGAATGATGACAGTCAGAGTACTGGTTCCCGTCATCGCTGGATTACCAGAGTCTTTGATCACGATTGGTATGAGATATTCTTTCTGTTGTTCTCGATCGAACGACCTGAGCGACGAAATGACAGCCATACCGTCACCGTTGGCTCCCTCTGAAAATTAATTTTATGATTAATTCCACATAACATTATATGTTATTATATAATTGGCTCTGCAGTCTGCAGAAATATCGTATTGCTCAATCTTAAAATAAAATATTGAAAAAATTATATTTTATTTCATGAGAAAACAAAATAAAAATCAGCCACTATTTTGTCGTTTTTAATATATTCCATCCTGGTGGTTTGATGTTATCCTAGTGAAAAGAATAAAATTGAATTGATTATAGGTACTTTGATCGTGTTCGACTTTGAACGATGCTCTGATCACATCATCTGCGTTCGGGTCCATCCTGAACGTGAATGGTGGCCCGTTGCTTTTCGAGCGGTCGTCGTCGTCGGTAGCTAAGACTTCTACGACTTTTCTGGCAGGCACGTGCTCTGGCAACACCGGACGGTAATCACGGAGAAGCTTCGGAGCGTTGTCGTTGATGTCCTGGACGATCACCGTGAGGGTGGCCGTAGCTGTTTTCGGTGGAACGCCGTCGTCGATGGCCAAGATTTTCACCTGAAACCCGAGAAAACGTAATGTCCAAGTACTGTTAGATTTAAATGTACTTTGCTGTACTGTTTTTCAATGCTAATTACAGCTTGTTTCGTTAAAAATCCGTTTTACGCGTTGTCGTTGACATTTAAATATGCTCAAACTTATTTTGATATGCTTTTGAAAATGATTAGTTTTAGCATTTTTAGAAATTTTAATCTTTTTGTCTTGGAAAATAGTAAGTAAAAAAAAAAAATTACTTCCAAATGTTAATAATATTATTTCCTTAATGCAGAGCAACATAGAATTAAAATCTAAAAATAAAGGTAATTCTTATCGAATATATAGAATAGTGAATAGTATAAATAATATAGAATTAAAATGTTTAATATAATATGCTATATAATTAAAGCAATGGAAGTAATTTAAAAATGCTGGGATTAAATCAAATAAGTTATTAAATATTATATTATAACTTAGTTGTTTTTCCTACTAAGAATTAAATGTTCACACTCACATATTACTTGATTATCTTAAACAAATGTTTCGTTTTGAAATTATTAAAAACAAACAATTTAAGTGTATTATTTGTAACTTCTTTAATTCAGCATATTTTTATAGTGCAATACTTTTTTTGCGATTTGCTTTGGTTTTTACATATAGGGCTATGTTTGTGACTATACTAAAGTGTTTATGTAACATTCATGTCCACTTATTGTTATATCTATAGAGCTATGAACGTACCTGATGTCTGGGAGTTTCCTCTCTGTCCAGTTGCCGCTGAATAGAAACTGTCCCTTCTTGACTGATGCGGAACTGACGGCGTCGGTCGGAGACGCGGTCGATAGCGTACGACACTTTGCTTTTGCCGCCTTGATCCGGGTCAGTGGCTTTAAACGTTTCCAAGCTCTTGCCAACTTCTACGTTTTCGTATACTGATACTTCAATGTTGGGCCGTTCGAACTGTGGCTTGTTGTCGTTGATTTCCCGCAGTTTGACGACAACCCACGAGTACGCGACGTGATATTTGTCGTGATCGTTGTCTTCACCCTGGAAACAATCGCACACCAAATGTGAGTTACGTTGTAGATAATATTATTAATATTTTTGTTATCTAAGAGGTCAACTGTAATCAACTACATTATAAACGCAAGACCAATTCATAGCTGATATGAACCTAAATGTTCACCACAAAAAGTCGAGGAACTGAGTGCATGACTGTGCAGCATAGGAACAATGAATTATGGGGGGAGGGGGTGGCGTCAAGCTCCCCAATAATTTCCATAACCCCCCAAACATTTCCTACAGTTTTATAGTTTATTCTATTTTTTTGTAGTAAGGATTCGGCCTCCTACCACAAATCTAAACAATATTTGCCCTTACAGTGCGCAATATCGTATTTATATTAATTTCGGTACAGCTTATACGAAAAAAAGGGAGGTTGTATATTCAAAATGTTTTAAACATAAATTTAAGAGCAATACGTATGTTATGTTGAAAAATTAAAAACGATATTATAATATACTTTATTTATATTGCACAGTCAATGCATTTTCCTAAATATTTTGGTGGTGAACATTTGATTAGGTTAACGAGCATATGGTGTGGCATTCATCTAATCATCTACTTGACCACGTTTAATACGTAAAATACCTTATCGTTGACTTGAATCCTGAAACGGAATCCGTTACTCTGCAGCTGGTCCTCATAATCCAACGGTTGAACGATTTTCAGCGATCCGGTTCCGTCGTTGTTCCGTACCATGGTGAATTTATCTGCCCCATAACCGCTGTTTTCGATTACCTAGAACGTCGAAGAAATGTTAGTAAGTACTATGATATTATTTGGTAAACTGACGGGTAGATAGGTAAAACACAAATATTATTATGACTCAGCCTCACTTTGTATTGGAACTTGTTGGTCTCGTCTTCGTCGTGCACCGTGACGGTCAATATGGGGGTTTCCGGGAAATTAAATCCATCGGTCTCGTCAACTTCGGTGAGCCACTCTTCCTTCGTGAACTGCGGCGGCATGTCGTTGATGTCCTTCACTCGAATGGACGCGGTTCCCGTACCTGTGCCAAAAGAATAATATAGTTGCGAACAGAAAATCAATACCGTCGACCAAGTTGCGTCGTTACGCTCGTGGAGCTAATTCGCCACGTTATGTGCGCATATTATCACAATAATATATGTCAAGTCGGGTACCTTTCAGACCTCCGCCGTCCATGGCGACCACTTGGATCGAATAGTCCGGAGTGCGTTCTCGGTCCAAACAGCACACGGCCGTCTTGATGACTCCCGTATCGGATTCGATTTCGAATATCGGAGTGCCAGTTTCTTCTTCGATCACGTTTTTCTCGATCGAATAGATCAGTTTAGCGTTAGTTCCTTCAGCCGGGTCGTCGTAATCCACCGCCGTCATTGTCATCACTACCATTCCTGCAAACATGATTCCGAAGACACAAAATTATTGTAACATACGCTAAATACCTATACCTTAAGAATGCTTATAATATTACGGTGGTGGAAATAGGGGTAGGTAATCCTACTGAATACAGTATATTTTAAGTATCTATTTACTATCGAAAGTAGGTTAGTATTAAATGTTGTTCATATTAAGGTAGATTTTGTAAGAAAGTAAATAAAGTTTTTACGCTTCAATTCCCACATTACTTAAAATCGAATTAAAATTACGTAATGCCTAATAATAAAATATAATGAGTGCGATGTATTGAACTTCATTTTCACGAACTCTAAGTTTGATTTTGCTCAGGTTCAGACAAATTTTTTACTCAAATTGTTTCAAACTTTTGAACCTTATTCAGATAACGATAAGGACTGATGAGGATCATACGGAAACTATGGGATTTAAAAACAGTATTTAGGAAGTATAGATAATTATATTTTAAAAACAAGTCTACGAAGTTTGATACTTTGATAGTTCGAAAACAGACATAGAAAAAATAATATTTAGTTTTGGCTGAGTACGCAAACGATTAAGTTGTAATAGCAGAGACAAATAATGAATATAGTAGTTTCAAAAAAACGACCAAGAATTTAATTGAAAATCGAAAAAGTTTGGTCTTATTAGGTAATGAAAACAAAATCAAAGTTAAGACTGTATCTAACATCCACAAAATTGTATATCAAAAAAAACCTGTTATTTGATTATAACTTGAGATTAAAGAAAAATAAAATTACGGAGCTGGTTACGGAATAAGGGCAAACAGAGAACTTATTACTCTATTAGCAGTCCAAGTAAAGTTTCACCCTCACCGAAGAACTAGAATAATATACGTACCAGCTGTTCCGTTTTCGGTTACATTTCCCCAGTAAACTCCTTGCGGGAATACCGGCGCGTTATCGTTGATGTCTTTGAGGTTCACTTGAACGTCAGCATATCCAACCAAGCCTTCACCCCCTTCGTCCTGCGCGAACACAGTAAATCTCCATTGAGGTCTGCCGTTGGGCTGATCTCTGTCCAATGGCTGTGCAAACGAGTTTCAAGCGTAAAGTTTTAATAAAATATATATTGATTAGTGTCCACCAGCGAATATCGAACCGGTCGGTTCATTACCTTGAGAACGAATATCTCGCCAGACGTACGATTGATGTCGAATTTACTGTTGGCCGGGTTGTCGGGATCGATTCCCTGTCCCGTGAGGAAATAGACGATGTTCTGCGGACGATCCTTGTCGCCGTCGGTGGCCGTTACCTATATTATAATGCACAAATTATAATTAGTTGGCCGTTAACGTTTGCGGTCGACGAGTCGTAAAACTATTATTTAATAAAGTCGTGTAAACAAATATAAAGGGTTGCAACAATGATCTACGACTAGGTATAATATTATAAACGAGTGCTGGATAAAACTGGATGCAACAGAACTATTTTTTTTTGGTAACCTTACCTGCGGGGATCCGATTGGTTATAGCGAGATCTATATACGCAAACGGGCGATAAATAAATCAGTAAATACACCCTCTCAATGTATACACCGGCAGTCTTGTAAAGTACTCAAGCAAAAGTATTGCGATATATTTTTAAGTATAGGTACTCAAATATATGTAATTCAAATTATTTTTCAAAGTACCCATCTGTATTTAAAACGAAATACTAATCATTTTATTTTTAGATTATATTATGTTATATTTTTCAATTTCAATTCATTAAGAAAAAAAAATATTGAGACTATAAAAAGTCATGTAACAATATATTTTTTGCACGTAACTTATGCCAACCGAAAATGCTAATACCTTGGCAAAATAAACAGATTAGTAGTTCATAGTTTCATCAAATTATGGAGTGTAAATAAGCTCTTTACAAATGCGGCGTAAGACACGAAAATGCTAAAAAAAATTCTGTTCTGTAAATTATTGGGTGAAAAAAATGTTTTGAAAGTTTTTTAAACCATCTGTAACTGTACTCAGACACTTGAGTTGGCGGAGGGGTCTACTAGACCACCGTAAAAAACTCGTGCATTTCAAAAAGTAGAATTTCTATATGTTTCTATGTTTAATCGATTTTCGCATAATAGATAGTTTCAATGTATTATGTTAAACAGTTTCGAAATAGGTGTGAAAATTGGAATGGATCATCCGAAGTTGTAACGTCATAATTTTTTTTCGGACTTTAATTTTTATAATAATATAGTATTATGTACATGTATTATCATATTTACACATCAGATGGTAACCCATTATAATATCTACAAACTTGAAAATAACGAACTTTCTATACATATTTTATATTGATATGGAAATCAGGTCTGAGGCCACGCGCGACTATAATATACGAACGTGAAAAAAGGCACTCGCCTGCTCAAGAGTCGGATACTTTCCAAAAAAAAGTTTGCTTATCTCTATAGGAACTTGGATACTTTTGAAAAGCATCTCTTACAAGACTGTGACCCGGTGTTATATCATTGGCGGGCGTCCGTCCGTTTGATCTGTCGGATACGTACTTGTAACAAATGGTGAGGATACGCTCCGACCAGTTCTTCTTCCATTTCGGTGGCGTACAGCGGCGAGTTGAACACGGGCGGCATGTCGTTTTTGTCTTTTACGTTAATCACCACCGTCGTTTTGCTATCTTGAAAGTTGTCGGAAGCGGCCAATATCAATTCGTACTACATTACAACCATGCAAACATGTAGAGGTAGGTACACTTATGTGTGTTTTTATTTTTAATCACGGGGCTCATGGAAAATAAGTGAAACGACGACGAAAAGGGCTGTTGACCGTCGTCGGGGGTATAGTCACAAGTGGGGGAGGGGGGGGGCTGGTGAGTTGACCTGTTATGCCGTACTCATATATATAGCATTATTGCGTTGATATTATATACTATTACTGCTGTGTAGTTTAATTAAATGCAAATTAGTTCCGAACAAATAAATAAACGCTACAACACGTGCTCATATTTTATAAAATATTATCGATTTTCACGGTTTAACCGATAATCATATTCAATTAATATTATAAACATGCCGCATCAAAATAATACTATACAGGAACTTAAAGCATGCTCATCCTCCCTTTTGCCACCAAAAATACAGTTATAAAAACAATCTGATTTTTGAAATTTTTAAATATACCTCTATCAAGGTTGGGCAAGTTAGTGAAGCGCCCTAGTATTTTGATTTACACAACAATTGCCATTCTATGATAGATTATTAGAAAATGAATGATAAAAATCGAAAAAGAGTCAACGAAACAGTATTGTCTGTTGGTTCTGCGTGATACGAAAAGAGAATTAATTTCACTGCACCATAATGATTATGAACTGTAAAAAGTTAAGTTACAACAATACAAAATTTTAACTGGAGCAGTTAATAAGTTAAAAACAATAATAATTTATCAGTTGAGTTAATAAGTTTAAAAAAATGAACTTTTTAACTTAGCTTTAACTTTCCGGTAAGTCAATGCCCATTTTTGACCTCTATACTCAAAGTTAAGGACCACATTTTCGAATTCTTGAGACGTTGTATGACTTACTATATATTACGTACCACTATAAGGCCTAGGAGTACATAATTCTGTTAATTTCAAATGAGAATCTCAATTTTCTATGGGTACCGTATATTATTTAGCGGATTTGGAACATTTTGAAGATTCAAAATCAAAATTGAAACACAAAGTTAGTTTTTAAAATTGTTGAAACTTGTTTGGATTTGGTAGATCATATTTTCGAGAAAATGATCGATACGATAGTTGAAATTTACAGTAAAAATAGAGAGTCGGGAGGGTTCTCATTAATTAATAAGCATAAGTTTGTGACTCCTCGAGTGGTCCCTCCCAAACAAATATCAATAATTTGATGACACTTGGTCCTATTTAAAAATCCCATAAATCAAAAGTCGAACTAATTATAATTGCATTAAAGGAAGAACGGGGTTGAGCGTGCTGGCCCCGTATAACACGATAATAGTTTTGTGTTATACGTTTATTCGTATTATCGTTATTATAATAGTCGAATAACTGTATTATCTGTCGGAATACCGCTCGTGCAAAGTCAAGTACCTATATACCCAATAGATAGGTACAGCGATATAGTATTTGATCGTTGTCGTCAAACGCGTTCCGGTGCGGTGAGTGGCAACTATATATATGCACTCGAGGCCCAACTAAAGTACCTATATATATATAGGTACCTAAGTATACCTATGCAACAATAATAATAATATGCACGGTGAAATAACGTCATGCTGCATGCAACGGGAAATCGACTTTACAAAAATAAAAAAAAACTACGTGTGCGTTTCTGAAACGCGCGCCGGACCTGTAAGACGCGTTTGGGCAAGTTCCGGTCGTCCTCTTCCGTGATCTGTGTCCTGTACGTGGGCCGTTCGAACACCGGTGGATTATCGTTAACGTCTTTCACGTGGATCACGACTATCGTGTGGTTTTCTTTCAAGTTGTCCGACGCGGATAGATGTAATTCGTACTGTGCACACGGTGTGATTGTCGGAAGTCAAATATTTGATCACAATATATTATATATTATAATATTATTATCATCGTAAACATTGTCAATATGATGAATGATGATATATCGCGATATTTTTTTATTCGATTCAAATGCAAACAACAGATGAGCAACAAAAAAAAAAACAAAAAACGACAGACGTCGGCGATAAAAAATAAAAGAAATCATAATCAGGGGGACATAAATAAATGAAATAGATGATGAAAAAAAAATGGGGGAAAAATGACAAGAGCCTGTGTGGGAGTATAATATTATTATTATCGGGGGGCAGGTGTCCATAGCCTTCCCAACCACGGGGTTATACGGTGGGTGTACAAATCTGCACCCATGTACGGAATTTTCGGGCGAAAGTCTGTCTGCCGGTGGATTAGCATTGCGCGAAGGGGGTCATAACTCGTAAAATCACGATGGATAAGAGTCATAATAATAATATTACAATGGGACCCTATAGAATAACAACACCGCGGGGTGCCAAAACGGTTTGGCGACGACTATAGGTCGGTTTTTGAAAAGAAATAGATAACAACAATAATAATATTATGAACGGCGTGTGCCTATGTATGTGCATATTTCCTATTCATATCGGATGACCTCGGCTGGCCCGTAAAGCTTATTATTTGTTATTCGTCGTGGATAAAATATGTGCCACGGTGGTAAAAATCGTCTTAACTAAAATATTTTTTTTTTATTTCAAAAGATTTGAAACGCACGACTTTTCGGTGCGATTGCGCCCTTAATATTTTATCGTATAAAATAACGGTTATGAAATAAATCCGAGTGACGTTATATTACAGTTGACTGCAGTTGGCCTACACATGTTGGTACTTTTTTTTTTATCGACATGCGTAATTATTGATATTATAGATTCATAGGCAGTGTTGTGCATTATCAAGGTGAATATTTTTTATCTTAAAAGAATTAAGTTTTCTATTATCTATCCACTTTAATGTGTTAGCCGTAATATGAGATAAATTAAGAGATGCGTTTTTTGCGACAAGATTTTTAATTTAATTTTGGTGTAAACATGCTTAGTTTTTTTTTTGTGGGGAATAGATGTGTATTTAATTTAGTTATTTTGTAGTATATTGTTCCCATATAACATACACGTATTTGATGAAATGTTATGTTACAAATGCAAGTTTTGAACTAAATAAATTATTAGTTAACATGTAACTATAAGCAAGATAAATATTTGAAGAATTGTTTTTATTTTTCAAAACACATTTTAATGAATTTATCAGTTATTTTATCTATATAATTTTTTGGTATCTTTGAACAACACTGCCAATACCTGGATAAAGCTCAAGTGAAGCTCGAGAGTGAATTTTGTTAGAACATGAAGTACTATTACCTATATATGATATTATGTCGATTTAATTTCAGGCAGCTTAACAATTATAGTTTGCGTGTAATTTTAGCGTTTATATGAATTGTTATCTTATTTATTTTTTTTCATTATTTTCATAAACCGATTAGCAGTAATTGTCATTGAAATTAACAAAAGTAATAAAATAAAAAATTGAATGGAATTATTTATAGGGACTAAATAGTAATGTGAACGGAGAATGTTTTTGGGTAATTGCAATGCTCTCGAAAAAATACGCTTATTAAATTTTTTAGGTAGATTTACAAAAATTATGGTAGGGATTTTAAATTATAATGTACCCATGACAGGCCATAGCTAATTTATTAAGTTTGGTTATTGATGAGTACCTAGGCGTACAAGCACGACGTGATGAATTATCGTGGTTATTGAGCAAGTAATATTTATAAATTAATCCTATTCATTATAATTATTATTACGAATAAAAATCTCGAGAACGTTCCTCCTACCCAAAAGACAATGCCCTCAGTTATACATCACTATAAAAGGTGTGAGGTATAACAGGAAGACCTGATAAATAAAATAATTTTGATTCTAATGAATATTATATTTAATTTTGTTTTTATATAGGCTTAGTTTATCGACTCTTGCGCTATAAGTATGATAATATAACATTTTTATTTTTAATACAAAATAGCCAATTTGTAAATCTGGGTTTTAGAAGAATTTTGATCTTAAAGGCATTAGATAACTAAGTTATGTAAATTTGAATAGATTATGACGTTTTTATATTTTTTTTAAATGTCTAAATGTTTTTAAGTACCTTGTTAGTTTGAAAATAAATAACTTCTAAAAAAAATATTTAGATTTTAACATGAACTTTTACAAAAAAGCTCTTAAAATATTTAAAATAAAGTTTTTAGGTACTTTTTGAACTTGAAATATTTTTACCGCTGCCAACTGGACAATCATTAGGTACTTAACAAAAATATTGAGATTTCAAAAAATAAGCTACATGGCTTAAGTAAATGTTTTAACAATAAGCATTTTTCCAAAATCTAGCATTACAAATTGGCCATTCAGAATTGTTCAAGAAAAATGTGTGTCACGTTTTAAAATACTTATTTTTGTTATTCAAAATAAAAATAAAAAATTCTATATTACACTTGTAGTCAATAAATGATGTACCTATAAAAACGAAATTAAAAAATATTGATTAGAACAAAAGTTATTTCATTTGTCGGGTCTTCCAGTTACACACTGTATATAAATACAATAGGGTCGAAAATATTCTGTAATAATATTATTATGTTTATATTTTGATTAGTATATTTTACAAAACGATTCCGGTGGCGGCCGATAATGCGTTTCTTGACTTACTCTTTTCCTCGTCTCGTAGTCCAACGGGCCGGCGACATAAATGGCACCGGTCATGTTTTTGACGGCAAACGCCCCGCCGAGATTACCTCCCGTTATCTCGTAACGTATTCTGGAAGCTGCAAATGACACGAAAATCAAAAGACGTTATACATCCAAACGGTATAATAAAATATTCAGTGGTGGTCAGCGATGATAGAGTCGCGAGCTGCACAATAGTATAAATTATAATGAACAGGGTTCGGATTTTAATGTTCTAAAAATCTTCAAAAACTATTTGATCTAAACACAATATTTTTTATTCTCTACTATAAATTTAAAAAAGTTGGTTATTTTATTTATATTTTCGAACTAATTCATCTAAATGATATTGCGTCTTTCGCGATTGTCCCCGTCGTTGTAAATTCGAAGTATATGATTTAATGTAGAAGTACATTTGTAAATAATACACGAAAAATGGATTTAAAATGGCTTAAAAATATAAACATTAAACTAAGTAATAAAATGCAAAATAAAAGTTGTATTTTTTAATTCATTGATACACGAAACGAATTTTGCGTAAGCATTGTTCTAGGGTTTCCGGGAAAAATGTAATCTGCATTAAAATCCAAACCTGAAAGAAGGAAAATATGTAAAAGCCGAGAGCTGCAGGGAAAAAAGGGTCTCCATTTATTATCGTAAATAAGATTATATTAAGATATCAAATGCAATAAAATGTTTATGATACTAAACAATATCAATATAATAAGGTATTACCTACAGTGAAGTCAGATTAAATTTTGTAAGGGATAATATTATTTTTGTCTTCATAATATAATACTTATTACTATACCAGTAAATATGTTATGCCTCTTACGATAAGACTCTTCAAGCCGCGGTTTGACCACCCATGGTATGCGTATATACGTATATACTTATATTACAGATTCAGAGATGTGATAACATAATATTATTATATAGTTGTAAAGGACATTTCCCGGGATCGAACGCTTTTGCAAAATATTCAAATCAATTTTCTCTCGACTGTTGACTCAACAATGCCGCTGTTACAAAGTGACCGTTTTTTAGGAAAAAAAATCTCATCGGAAATCTGGGAACGTGGGTCCAAACAAAGATGTTATGGTTTGCATATGGCTAAAGAATTGATTATTTTTTGTGAAATTCTTCGAAATAAATACAAATGTACCTATGTGATTGAAATCATATTATGTGAATTTTCACGAGCCGATTGAATTCCGTAGAAAAGTAAAAAGTAAATTCCAACAGAGGCTAACAAATATTATTCAATTCACATAGGTAGGTGTGACTATTATAATACCTTTTACTTTTATCCAATTAACATATAATGTCTTAAAATAACGAATAAGTAAGCAAATGTGTTTAGGGTTCCTATCTTTGAAACTACCACTGTTACCGGTAGTGGTATCGATCTAATCATCGGAAGTGTAATAAATAAAATTATTATACATATAATACAGCCGACATCGCGGCTTACACGGAAATTAAGTGAAATGTATCGATATAATATATAGCTACAATGTTATTGGCACTAGCTGGAAATAAAGTTTAACCCTAAGGAAAATTGTAGATTATTTCCAAATGATTCGGATATAATTTAATTTTCAACCCCCTCAAAAACAAAATTCTGCATACTGTTGTGTCATCGAGCGTATGTGTCCGTTTTTTATAAGATTGCTTTCACAGTCACTCCTATTTTCTCCGCCCAGTTATGACTCATGGATGACAATGCCCATATAACTATTATCGATCTATACATATAGGTGTATACTAACATTCATCGTGGTCCTTTGCAGTTACGGTGAGCACCGTGTGCTGAATGTCTTCGTTTTCATCAACCTCGGCCTCGTACAGCGCCTTGTCGAAGTACGGAGGGTTGTCGTTCTTGTCGGCGATTCCGATCCGAATGAACTTGGACACTGTAAATGAATGTGCATAGCGAAAACATAAATCAGAGACGCGTAAACAGTATATTATGGTGTACCGCATACCTAGGTACAAGGTTTAAAGTAAGCTCTCGTTTCGCGATTTTCGTTAGCTTGTATAGTGCATAATAATATGTAAATATAAATACCTGAGTTCGGGGCTTCGCCGTTGTTGGGCCTGGCAGACGGAGCTCCGTCCCGGGCCTCGACTTCCAGAGCGTAAGCGCCTTGCTTTTCTCTGTCAAAAACTATTTTCGTGAACACCTCTCCGGTTTCCGTGTTTATTTCGAAATAATCCTTTCCCTCGTTCCGTGGTGAATCGACCACATAATAATATACCTGCAGCCGATAAGACATAAAATATTAAAGTATTTGGTTTTCAGTTGGTTTTTTTGGGGCAGTCTAGTTAAGAATAATATGCTTTCGTTTCATATTTAGAATACATATACGAATACTAGCATTCGAATACTTAAGAATATATTTTTTCCCCCCTAATTTTTGTCAGATTCGGAGAAATTTGGGAAAATTAACATAGATCAACCACATTTAATTCAAATAGAGAAAAACTACCATTCATGATTGATCGTTTTGATGTGCCCAATTTTTGATAAAAAAAATTTGAATTGTAACAAAAATAAATTATTTTTTGAGTTAAAAAAAAGTATTTTTTAATGAATGAAAACAAAAACAAAAAAAATTATTCAGAACACTTATTCGATTAAAAAAAAGGTATTTAGATAATTAAGATTTTAGGCACATAATGATCCTATGTATATAAATTATAATAATATACAACGTGTTTCTTTTATCTTGGAAATATCTTAGGTAAAACCAGATATTTTCCGATTATTTTGCTCTTACGAAACCATATTTTGAGTATTTAATCGAACTCACGTATTTGAATACTCATTATGTTCCATATATAGTGTAATATTATTATTGGGTAATAAGCGGTTTGCAGAAGCGCAATAGATGGTGTAAAAAAGGGAGCAACTCAAATTATTCGCTAGTCGTATCTAATAATACCTACCAGATGAATATATATGTTTAAACATGGTTTTAGCGATAGGTTAGGTAAGTTATTAACATACTATGATACTGTCACAAAGAGTCTTTAGAAAACGTATTTAAAATATCATTCAAATAGAAAAATATATTTTGTTAAATTTAAAATTATAAAGCATAACAATATAATATAATGTTATGTTTATTTTTTTAACAAGTCGAAACACTTCAGTCATATTGAGAGTATTTTGAAATGGTCTTGTGTATTCCGTATCTATAGAATATCGCGATAATAATTCTATTGAATTACATTTTGTCGTTCAATTGAAATTTTAAATCTAAATACGAGAATTAATTTTCAAAAAATGCAATCTAAATACTTTATAATACATTCGTATTTAAAATACAAATTGAATGCTTTGTAATAAATGTTTTAAAATACTATTTCATACAAAATAAAAAGAAAACTATTCAACTTATTTTATTCGAATGCATTGTACAATAATGTTAAATGATAAAATTGGGTTTTTTTTATTATTTATATTATTATTATAAGAACGATTATAAGAATTGTATTAGGAAAAAAAATTTTCCGACATCTATATGCATAAGAGATACATAAGTAGTTGCACCCATTTCCGAAAGAACCGCTTTGATTTTGATTTTGCATTTTACATTTTTTAAACAGAATTTGAACCACCATGAAAAAGATTTTCACACAAATTTTTATTAGGGTATTTTTTTTTTTTGTCGTTCTTGGTCTATGACATTTTTAAGTCCCGAGAAGCCGCTTTTTCGTGACAACAACGTCGTCGTCGACTACTCGTGTGAATAAATAGGATTAAGACGAACCCGGTTATTCGGGAACGTGCCATCCTTGTCGATCGCGTTAACTTGAGTGACTTTGGTTCCAATCGGCTCGCCTTCCAGGACGGTCTCCTGTTCCCGTTCGGTGAACAACGGTATTTCGTCGTTCACGTCTTCCAGCATGATGTAAACCGTCGCTTCGGAAGCAAGTTGTTGAGCTCCGTTGTTCTGCAAAGATCAAAACGAAATTAAATATAAAAAATTCAAATAATTACATTATGATGTATTTATATTGGCGCTATAGGTATAGGTACTTGAAACAGTCGGCGCGCAACCAAATAGTTGATTGAGAGACACAATTGTTGAACAATTTGGTTTATTTGAATACATATAATTTTAGAATCTGTATTTGAAAAAGAACCATTTTCATAATATTGTTTGAACACAGAGGTGCACTTTGGAGGGGTGGGAAGTTAAATACCAGTATATCTAAATTGCTGTTAATTCATCACATGCGGGCATAGCTACACGGATGTCTAAAGAAATGTATGATTCTTCAAAGAACATTTTGAATATATTCTTGAGAGAGAGCGTAATGATTATAACCTATAAGATGTGTGTGTCATAGTATTTTCCAAATACACATAATTTGGATCGATACAATTGTGCAGGCTGGGAGAAGATCTGACGTTCTTAATCCCACCTATTGTGTACTAGGAATTTTAGAGCAATAAAACTATGGGAATACGTTGTGTCACCTGAGTCGTACGCGAAACTAACGATGTACATTTAGTGAAAACAAACACCGAAAATATATATGTAGGTGTAACATTAGAGGGGAGGAGAGGACTTGTAAGACACTTAGGAAATCTAAGCCCCCACTCCCTCCTCTTATTTGAGTCAATGAGATCCAATAACAAAGTACACTATGGATTTTGGTTCTTCTCTTCTCGCATGGATACGATAATATGTGGAGGACCAATCTATGATTACGAAAAAGGAATGTGGAGAAGAAAATTGAGCAGGGAATACCAGGATGAAGTAGAAGTGCGTCATCAGTTATCAGCTTCATAAACGGACAAATGATTCAGTGGTTGCGATATGTTATTAGGAGAAGAAAGGACGATATAAGAAACTCTAGAGTGGAAACCAGTGGAGAAAGACCCCAAAGCTACTCAGGAATAGATAGTTGGATGTTGTGGAAGAAGACTTAAGCAAAATGGGAGTGTACGAAAATGGAAAGAATTAGAGAGTACCCATTAAATGCCAGTGGAAGATACCACTAGGTAGATGGTCGTACTAACCTCCACACGAATAGTCAGATTGTATTCCTTGATAGTTTCGTAGTCCAGTGGATGGTTGACCTTTATGTCGGCCCAAGTAAAACCATTGTCCTGCCTCTGTTGCAGATAGAACGTGTGGAACTTGTTCGTCTGCGCCGTGGATCCCGGCATCAGCCGATAGAACACGGTCGGATTTCCTTCGATTCCCGAGCTGAAAACACCGAAATCACAAATCAGTAAGTGCGCGGGCACGGTCGAACGGCGGGACGCGCGGTCCGCGGTGGGGTTTCGATATTAGAAGTCGGCTCTCGTGTTCGTTGTGGGGCGAAACGACGACCCTATGTAATATTTGCCACACGGCGTGACGAAAGTAACGATGACGATGACGATTGTCGTAAATACAAGAGGGCACTGTCATCATATCTTAACAGACAAACTCAATCGTACACAAATCAGTCGATCGCAAAAATCACGATGATGATAATGATAGTATGATACGCTACCAGAAATCGTTTTGCGATGATTGCATAATACAATGTGATGAATATATTATATTTCGGGTGCGTATAATATTATGGTAATATTTACCTGTATACAAATACGAATTTTAGAACATACGACGTGATCAAAATGTATGGTACGAGGGTAATTGGCGATTGATAGCGCAGTAACACGTAGCAAAATGATGTGATGATAATATGAGACGACCATAATATAATACTTAGGCAGGTATGTTACACTTTCGTAGAACTCGGTTTCAACGGTTTTTTTTTTTTTTTTGAAAAAAGTTCGAAAATAATACATAATATTATTAAGATGATTGTTAGGTGTTTTCAGATGATTTGGCATAATACCTAGGTACACAGAGACACAGGGTCTTGTACACTCGTTAGTGCACTCGTGGTCATTTAACGCGTGACATGAGATCATGTCGAATTGACCGAGATTGTATCGACTGAACTCTCACTGGTCCGTTCAAAATAAAACGTGTATATTGCCTATGGATACCTAAATTCGAATGTGCACAAAAATAAAAATCGTCACATACGAACGAGCCACATACCTATTATGATACGTATAATAATATTTATAAAAGACTCGTGTATCGATAAGTCTATAATATTATATTATATCAAGTGATATTCTGTAAAAAAAAATATATACACATAAATATATAATATTACATGTAGATATATATATATTATGCCATGCACTCGTAGAAAAAAAGTTGTTTGAGCGTACAAAAACAAAAAATAAATTGGTTGAAAAATTAACATTAAAAAACGAATGGGACATTAGCAAAATACAAAAGACAAAAATAAACAAAAAAAAACCGAACTTTTCTGCGTATGTATTATGCAATAAAGCAATAAATTTAGTATGATACTTAAAAATGACAAAACAAAACACAATATTATTTATGTACCTATACCTATATAATAATAATATATTATGCATAGGTAATAATATTATAGCGATATGAAAAAAATAAAAAATAAAACCAACCAGACATGCCAAAAAACAATGTGACTGGTCAAAATCGATTAGGTACACAAAATACAAAAATACAAAAATACAAAAATAATAAAATAATAAAAATGAAAAATACTCCTACGCAGTATTGTCTAAAAAAAAATATGAAGAAAAAATCAAAATCATATCAAAGAATAACATTCATTGTTTCCGCGGTAATTTTTTCTGGAATACTTAAAATGACAATCATTCCGATTGTAGGTACGTTATTATTTTAATTTACTTCGTTATCATATTTTGTTCGATGTTCGATCGTCATCGTCTGATGTCGGGTTTCGAATTCGTTTCGGAAAACGGGCGTCTATCGACCAAGTTATACCTGAGTATAAGTAATTATTAAGATGCGTGTTCCGTTAATATATAATTATATCATGTGATATTTCCAACACCATCTCCCATAATTCCAACTAAATGTGCGTAGGTAGGTATAATTATAATATTATAATGAATGCATAATATTGTTATAATATTATTTGCTCGTCAGATAACAAGACAATATAATATCGGATCTATAATATACAGAGTGTCTTACCGAGCGTGTTCACCCCCTTTTTACCATTTAACAATATGAAGCGTTTATTCAAATTCTGATTTTTGAAATTTTCAAGTATAGGTTTCATCTGCTTGAAGGCCATAATATTTCGAAACATATTTTCTGACTTTCTTGGCTATATGAAATTTTGTTTTTCGCTATGAGATCCTCCATTTTTTACAGCGCAAATAATTGTTAAGTAGATAATTTTTTTTTGTATGTTGATGAATTTAAGTAAACATATGGACTAGTAGTTTCTGAGTTATTAAAATGTTTAGATTATATAATAGCATTAAAGTCCTTATAAATAGTTTTAAAATAACATAAAATAAATTTGATATTCAATCATCCATAGCACTTGCTTACTATACTCAGATATTATGAAATATTATGAAATGTTGATGTATTAGTATAAATTCATGAAATTCTTGTCATATCGTTAATGTCTAACCACATCAGGACGCTCCTTAAATAGTATGATAAAACCCGAGTAGGTAGCTAAAAATAAATGGTAAGTATATTATTAGTAAGAACTCATACCTAAAAATTCCAAAAATCAGAATTTGAGTAACAGCATAAGTAGTAAAGTTAACAAGCACTCTGGGGTAAACTTGCTCGGTAAATTTTCCCGAATATTATAGTATAATATAATATGTGCCTAACAATTATTAACTTTGGACGTGTTGAAGAGGAAAAATTGTGTGGTACGCATTTACTCCGCTGGCTTCATAATATTTAATAATTATTTCTTTATAGGTTAGTACCTATCTCTGCGAGTGCAGTGTGTGTGTGTGTATGTGAAGATTAATAACGTTTTTTTAACGGATATTTACGAATGTAAAAGCGTATACGTAATCGAAAAGTCTAAAAGTCGAACGATCCGAGAGAAACCTATAACAGATAGATAACATTTTAATATAAGATTTCTGAAAATATATAATACTTGGATCTATTCGGTCGTTCGCGTTCGATTTATATAGTTGGTACCTACCTATAATACATCGTTATCGATATCGGACAGACTTCGGAAGAATCAATGAATGGTAAAAAAATAAAATAAAAAAAATTATATAACAATATATTATGCAAAAACAAATATAACTAAAATCTATCTCCGTTTCGACGAGATCCGCACATACACAACGTGCATTGTTTAGTGCGGACGTGCAAAATATTATTATGTCTTGACCTGCATGCGTTGTTTTGACGTTTAGAGACGCACCCGGAAATCGATATACGATCGGTCAGATTGCGCGGGGATCTCGAAATGACAAAACAATAATATTTAACTACCCGTAGAGTCAAACGCAGGCACAGGTGTACAATGTAAGTATCTATATAATATAATAATAATATTATGCGTATCGAGGTGTACAGAGGGTGTTGAGTAAGACTTAAACGACACGTCATTATCAGACTGAAATCTATTGTATTAGGACAAAGATAGGACGGTGTTGCATCAAAATTGTTATTGATTTTCTCATCACCTTTTATGAATTATTAAGAAAATAAAACATTTAACGTTGTAGACGCCTGGTCATGTTCAAATCGAAAAAGTGCAGAAGTTTTCTCAGGTTGTACATTATGATGTCATACTATATATGATGGAATTGCAATATTACAAAACGAGTGCTGTAAAATATTGGGGTGGGCTTAGACAAAGTCAGGGGCCATTACGTTAAGTTGTCTCACCCTAAAAATAAACCCTAGATTTAAACCCTAGATTGGCCAACTCCAATATGTGTCACACCAGACAAAATGAGCTAGAGTGAGTTTGATATGAATAAAATTACAGTCTGGATATCGTTCATGTGGGGGTGCTGGAGCTGAGCCCCCCCCCCAAAAAAGAAATTCAATCAAATCTATAACTTAAGAAGCGGGCAACATACGTGAGAGAATCCTGAGGCACGGCGACCAATATTGTTTTTATAATATCAGCTGTTGCCAATAAAAATGTATTAAAACTCATGACCCGTTCATGTATAATATATTTATATGATTTGGTAGTGGATTGAGAAATGGAAAATAAATAATAATAAACGTAGCAACCGATCTTGGTCAAAATCGGTATACCTATATATCATGAAAACACCATTATATAATATATTATGCTACGATGTGATACAAATTCGACACTCGTCCGACCTCTGTACACCTCGTACCTATATAATATTATATAAATAATACATTATATTGTCTCTAACGACGGGTTAAAAGTAATAATATTGTAGAAAAAAAAAACCGTAAAACCGATACGATTTATATTGCAGCAAGATATAACAATGTTCTATTATATTGCCATATAAAATTACGATTATTATTGATTCTGAGCGAAGAGAGGGCGGTTTTCGAAAGACTCACGTCTGTAGTGGCTTTTTTTTGGGCTTGGACGAGGAGAGGAACAGATCTAATATCAATACGTTGACGAATCGTAGATGATTTTTTTAGATAGGTGATTTTCAAAATTAACTCAAGCTAAAAGTTAAGCCGAGTGAACCCAAGGTAATTTGAAAATCAGAAGTTAATCGTAAACAAAATCATACATTTAACTCGTTAAATTTTAGGTCACTAACAATATGGATGAAAATATAGAAGTTAATCAGTTTAATAAGAGTGAACCCCTAGGGGTGCTCTTTCAATCAGTACCTACATGGATCACACAAAGAGTATTTTGTGATATTATATAATATTGTGTTATCAAGAAACAAGAAAGAAATTACTATACTATTGTTACTGTTATATTATAAATATTTATATATTAAAGATTATGTTTGTTTTCATTCAAAACTGTGTAGGTACCCATACAGTAATCCCGCGCAGTATAATTAATGATAAAAGTATTAGAAACAAAAATGTTGAAAACTTAATTACAAAGTTGTATTTAGTCGAGTTCTTAAGTTAATTAGGAAATTAACTAACAGCCCGGTTAACGTATTTGTTTGTGTTCATCAATATTTGTTGTTTAATGACGATAATACTATTATGAGAGCGATCTAAGTCGCTGGAAAATCGTCAAGGGTCCTGCAATTGGGCGTTTCGGGTATTTCGCTCAGAACCGTTGGTCTTATGTCGGTTTAAATTAAATCGATCGTTTAGGTTTTTTTCTTTTTTCTTTAGTGCCGTGCATAATATATTTTTGAACACAATAATAATATTATACGCTATTACTGCAATCCAACGTACAATGCGCACAGTAACACACATAATAATATCGTTGTTATGTTATAATATTAACATCGTTCAAATAACTAATATATTATATTATTGTTATTATTATTATGATTTGAGTTTATTTTGTTGTGTGGAAATATTATTATTGTTGGACCGACCTGGCTTTAATAGATACCACTTTTGCCCCGACCGGCTTGTTTTCTTTTATGTAGATGGGCCCGTACACGACGTGGTCCCAGACCGGTGGGTTGTTGGCTCGGTCCACCACGTCGATCTGGACCTCGACACTCCGAGACAAAGGAGGGTATCCCTTATCTTGGGCAGTGGCTTCCAGCTTGTACGTCTCGCGCTATATATATACACACGCCGCAACGGTATAATCACACACGCACATCATTGGTGGGGAACAACACAAAATACAATGATAATACGTCATCGTGATGATGTACATCTTGTACACACATAAATATATATATTTATATATACATATATGAATTGGAGACATTGTTTTTGTCATATATTATGTACTAAAGTCATCGTATTGCTTGCGCTTATACGACAAACCTTTGGCGATCGAACTGTATTGGGTGTAATAATATTAACTATGAATGGCAGACGGTTCTCCGAAAAATGATAAGAGCAGTGGTTACACAACGGTTAAATATTATGGTTTGTAATAGGTAATTAGGTTATTACCGAAGAATGATATAGTTATAGTACGGCCTGACGTACAAACCGATCTTAAATTATTATCTGTAATATTTAAATTGGATTGTAAATAGTTTTTTTTCACGTTGGGGTGAACTTTCTTATCATTTTTCTGAAAACTACCATACGCAGGTGTGTGTCTATTAAATAATATAATCACGCACACCTGTTGCACGTATAGACTCTCCGTGATGACAAAAATTTAAGTAAAATAAATACAATATAGTTCGATCGAGAGTCAAAGTCACATTTACTCTCGAATATAGTATTTAATATTTATATACATATGTATGTATATATATATATATATTGATGTGTGTATTGATATTATTTTATATATGCCAGTTTTGCTATCGTCATTTATAGTCACACCATATATATTATATATAATACATATATTATATCGTAATAATTTATTGTAATAACAGAATAACCATAGAACGGATGAAAATTAATACTTTTGCATCGTCGACAAGGGAGAGACCTACTTTCCGTTACCCATAATAACATTATAACACACTTAGGTACTATATATTATCGTATACACATGATGTACATACTCATATCGACGTCATTGCGCGTAGGACGGTATTAACCTGACGCAAACGTTAAAATATCATAACAATAAATTGTCAATAACTAGACGTCGCGACGTCATACACGCGAGTAGTACCGTCGGACGTCTACGGCATGACGGGTAAAGCTCTCGCGGCGTAAACGGGGAGGGCGGTTGAGGCCAGGAATACAAACCTGGCTTTGACTGAGATCACAATGGTACCGATTGTGACATTCTCTTTGATGTGTGTAGGACCGTACACGCTCCGCTCCCACAGAGGAGGTTTATTGTTCCGATCAACGACGTCTAATTCAATATCGACCTCAGCGTACGACGGTGGATCACCACAATCCGAAGCTCTCACGCGTAGACGATACTTTTCTTGCTACATACACAATACCAAGGCCCCCGAAGTTAAGTTATAACGTATGAAAACAAAAACAAAAATAAATAAATGAGTAAATAAAAACACAAACAAAATATAAATAATGACATTGAAAAAAAAAAATAAAAACATACAAATAATCTGCCACAAAAGAAAAATCGAAGCAAAAACAATAGTACACATACATATTATTATAATATTATAAAGATATATATATATATATAATATGTGTACAATATGATACAGACATAATATTATAATGATAATAATATATAATATGTTAAGACGTCGAGTCGGTGGTCGGTGGTCGGTAGTCGGTCGGTAGGAAGTTTTATCTATTTGCGTTCTGATCCATAATTCACCCAAAAATTACATTTTAATTTTCTCCCAAACATTTCCAATATGTTTTTATGATTCCTGTTTCACCCAGACTGGTTTAGATCAATTTAAAATTAAGTTGTGCCAACGGTTGTTATTTCAGTGAATTAGTATGTAGTACATTTTCTATGATGGGTTTTTTTTTATGTGTAAGTATTATAGAATACATTTTAAACTAAATTAAAACATTTTAATGTATGTGCGGATTTTTAAAAAAAAAACTTTTTTACACATTTGAAATTTGTAAGTACTATTTTTAAATACTAAAAAAATGTTTACAGTATTTAAGTGAACTGAATTTAAACTAAAAAAAAAACTCGGGGAACAAAGAGTATCGCCTCCAAGTTGTGTTACCTGGATTTTGGATAACTCTAAACAATTTATGTAGGTACCTACAACTTACCCCAAACACCAAAATGAAAATAAATTATTTTACTTTATCATACCTAAATCCTTAATCACACATATCAGCAAATTTATTTCAACTGGGAGAAACGTGAATCGTGTACAGCGAAACCTCTAAATACCGAACTGCACGAAAATGCTGAAGATGCCGAAATCCTGTCCGGTACCGGATTGTTCAGATTGTAGAAAGCTTGTAGTTGTTTCCCGATAAATGGTCCACTAGTAGGAGATGTCCGTTAGGAGACGTTTCACAGCTTGTACGACATTTGGGCGAAACGGGTGACGCCCTCACACGCTTATGTAGTATTCAAGGCGGAAAGCGGCTCAACCGTTGTATGCGTGGCCTTATAGCTTTTGCCAAGCGATTTGTCATGATGATAATATAAGTAGGTATAAAGGAAAAGAGGTGTTTTGAATTTTGATTAGACCTGACAACGACGACGACGACGACATCTTTCCCGTTTTTATTTTGGCCCTGCGCAGTTTTTAGTCGAAAAAAAGTTGGCAGTCCGTCGTCGTCGCCACAGTACCTACTATTATTATTACTATGCTATACCGCTACGCACTATATATTATTCCGCCGCCACCACCCCATCTGCCCGCCCTTGCGTTCTGGTCTGCAGCGAGTTTATTTCGCGTCCTTATTTCCCGCTCGAGGCTGAGGATTTCGAGGGAACCGTCACTATTTATAACACAATATAACACCACCGGCTGTATAGCCCAAGGCGGCTTACAAACGAATCAACCAAAGTGGTTTTGAAGGCGCCGTTCCGGAAAACCGCGAGCGGGGACGTTATCGCCTCCGTGTGCGTTTTTAGAAACGAAAAACATCACGTCGATATACGCACGATCGAGAGGGAAAAAAGTGTTTTGTGAACGACATTTCGGGCGGTGCTGCGCTGCGTTTTATATATTTTTTATGCCCACCCGTCTTGTTGTTATTGTTATGGCAGCGATTGAGGCGACGTCGGGTGGTCGAAAAGAGTAGTTACCTGCTAGTTACAGACAAAGTTTTTAGTTTTTATCGTCGTTTTAATCGAAATGTCGAGTGCTAGCGATCATGACGCCGCAGTATTGTAGGCGCGATTCAACAATAACGAAAAGTGTTGTGACATTTTTGAACTTATTCATAGGTTACCTGCAATAGGCATAGCCGGTATAGATACTTTGGAGTTACAACAGTTATAATGAAACTACCTATATATATATATATGTCGATCAATCGTATGATTTGTAAGTAATTCCTAGTTCTCCCACCTGTACCTATAAGTCTATAATATTATTTCAGTCTCGCGGAGAATAATGAAACGATAATATTATGAGAATTTTGACATAACTAGGGTTAAAGTTCTGGGGGGGGGGGGAACTACAGCCCACACGAAAAAACAATCAATTTGAAATAACCCATAGTTGGCTTATATCTAAATCAATCAGGGATACTTTGGGGAGGGCTGGTCAGCGCCTTTCATTACAAGTGTCGTAGTATTATAGTAGCTGTTTGGTATCATCGTCATTGTGTAAATGTTACATAATATCATTATCGTACGATGGTTTTAATCGGTCTGAAGTCGTTGTTCGGTAAATAGGTAGATATATCATTATAAATAATATATAATAATATTATGACGTACATGCTAGATTTCAATTTTTACATAATGATAATATATCCTAGAAATCATAAAAAAAAATAATGAAAATCAGTAAATTAAGACGGATTTCCATAAAGCACTGAACACAATAAAATATAATAATTGACGATTATATTATTATTATGTATTATTCAGTTATTATCATCACGATGAGCGATACTCGTAGTATAATTTCGTATCTGTAAACATGCTTTGGCTTTGTTATTATTTATATGACTCGTGTACACATAATATATGCGAACAACCGCTGCAGTCAACACATGCTGTAAACTCAGGTAAATCGCAGACAAGCATTCGCGGACTATTTAATGCAACTCAAACAAAACAACAACTATGTAATACCAATTTTCTAGGTATAGCTAAGTAGGTACCTATCTATTTACTGAACTATTCCATTATTATCGTTCACGCTATATATCTACGTAACAATATATTATAACCCATTCTGCGAGGTCACGCACTTCGCCCCTGGCTCGATTCGTTGTGGAAATAATTTCGACGAACAGAATGTTCGAATAAGTGTAAGTAGCGATTTTCGAGGAAAAGAAAACTAAGTCATTTCTACCACCGAAATAATCTCTCAGAAGGGGAACGTCGATTTAATATAAGACCTATTCGCTAATGGCGTGCGCTCGTAAAATCGTTGTCTTGAATTACTTGAAACGACAAAAATAATTAAACATAAATAATAGTATGACATGGTCGCTGTAAAACGACATCGCCCTGATATTTAATGCCCACAAATCCTTTTCGACATTCCTGCAGCACCACCGACGACGGCACGACGGTTTCGAGTAGGTACTAGAAATACGACGTATAATAATTATAATATAATTATTAATTACACAATTTTCAGACGTCACCTACGATCAGCTGTGAACGTTTTTAATGGAATAGCTCTGCAATTTATAGTTGAATCGGAAATGTTGTTGAAATGTAATTACTATCTAGTGATAACGAACTCTTTTTAGCACAGTAATATTATATTGGTATAGATGGATTACCAGGTGATCCGTTCAAGTGTGTGCCTACACTCGACAATATGAAAAATGAAAATATTCGTTTTAAGTAACTTGATGAAGTAATTTCAAAAAAAGATTTCTGAAAATAATTTCAATCTATAAAAATTTAAATTTTGGACTAGTAGTTCATTAGTCATTACTTAAGTATACGTACCTATTTAAGATTTAAATTAGCGGACAGTAGTACGGAACGTCCTCAAATTATATAAATAAATTATTCACAAAAAAGTTGAAACTTTTCAAAATAACGAATGTAGATGACACTCAAACGGATATATCCTGTATGTATAAATAACCACGGCTATATCAAAAAATGCTGATACCTGACTCAGGCGAGGGGTCTGTCGCCGTCAAAAGCTGTATTAAAGCAGTGATAAATTACTATATTATAATTTACGTAAAGTTGACGAGATTTGCAAAGAGAAAAAACTAACGGTGTTCGTTCTCACGCGTTTGCTGGGACGAATTTTATAACCTTTTTATATTTATTACGGTCAATGTCTTAGCGAAATGTCTAGAAAAATGTAGAAAGACACCAAAATTCGACGAAAATCTCAGGTACTTATGTACACGTGTCATTACGGCGTTGTTGACTGTTGTATGATTATACGAGATAATGTAGAAGAGGTAAATATTGCTCATTAAACCATGTTGACGCAGATCGGCTGTTAATTAACATTATTATACTTATTCCGGATCGTGCGATTTTAGAGCAACAATCGTTATTTTAATTTAAAAAAAAGACGAAACATTCTTTTTTGAGCCATCTCATAAAATCGATTTTCTGTTAGTCACGTTAAATATATTTAGTGATAAGTATAAAAGCTATCTTTCCCTGCAGTTTTTTTCGATATCATCAAAATCCAAGGCTGGGCAAGTTAATGATGATTTTTAATTGAGTTAAATTGAATTGATGGAAAACATTTTAAAAAGTTCAAAATAGTTATCCTAATTTTTTTTAAACTCAGTTAAGTTAAAAGTTATATGAAAACTTACAATTAACTTAATACGTTTTTTTTCCTGTTTAACCAACAGCAGAGGAGGTTCTGTTTGAACAATACTACTCCTAAATTCTAATTAACTTATTTAGTTAAGTTCAATAATTTTTATTTTATTTTTAATACATGGATAGCCAGTAATATGATTTAAAATACTAAAAAGTAAATGTTTACGCAATATGCGTCATCGATAGTAATTAAATCATATTTATTATTAAATTATTTATAAATGAATGTAACTCGTTGTTTATTAAGTTTACATTAGTACAAATCAGTTAAGTTAATGGAAATTGAATATTTACAAATTAAATTAATAACAACTTGACTTTACCTTTTTAACTCGTTTATGACCAGGCTTTAGAACGGGATGAAATTATTTGTGAACGGAGCTCGGTTAATGTGGGATGAGTTAGAGTAAGGAAAAGAAACAGAAAACTGTTTAAAAATGTTCGAGTTTGTCAAAAGATGGAGCCAAGAAATCAATATATGGGAACGCCATAAGTGGGAGTCACACAGTCGTTTTATTTCTCCACATCTGCTGGAGAGAGTATGTGAACAACTGTGATCGAGTCCGTTATTTAGATATTTAATTGCATTAATATTTAAAAAATAAATCATCATGAAAAGAATATTATGTATTAGAATGTTGTGATTTTTTTATTTGTTTAATAGGTTCTAAAAGCTGTTATAACCGATCTTCGTCAACGAGTGTCTACGTATAGAGGTACCATAAATTGTCGGCAGGACTAAATTTCTACTGTCACATACCTGTGAGATCATATTTATACTTAAATTATATTATTATAATAATATGTCCAGGGCATTTTTCGTTTTTTCTCATTCATCGTGGTTTTGTATAAAATTACAACATTTCCGACCATGTTTTAATAAATAGATACTACTTCTACATAATATTGACAAACGCCACAATCTTGTAGCATACTTGGCGTTTATCAGGAAGATCTACGTATTAAACTACATAAGGAAGAAAATCATAAAATTCACTATTTTTACCCTGGCCGTCATAGGACAGGTTTTAATTAAAAAAAAAAAATTAAAAATTAAAAAATCAAATAAAAAAGGGGGTTGTTAAAAATGAAAAAGCGCAATAACAAAACGATAGTAAAAACATTGTTTGTTGCCTAAATCACACAGACCGTGTACGGTGGCCCCAACACAGTTTTTCAAAAAAAAATGTCACAATTTAAAAAAAATATGTGTTTGCGTTCAGAGGGAAGTCTCAAAAATATCATATAGACTTTTAAAAATCACCTCTGGAGCATTCCTGAAAAATTCTCCAATAAAAACTTTCACAACAATAACAATAATATTATATCATTATTATTGCAAACAAAAAATGCCAAAAGTATTATTTTTTTTCCTGTTCGCCTATAGTCTTTAAAGAAAACAAAAATTAAAAAACAAAACACTGGTACACGTACAGGTGTACCTATATGCTTATATATATATTATATATATATAATATATAAAAATAAATGTTGGATTTTTTAGAGTCAAGAGAAAAATAAATAATTAGGTAATGCAATTTTATGCAAATAAACAAAAATAAAATGAAAATAATGGTGTGCTTATAAATTCAAATACCGTGGTGGCCTATTCATATTAAACAAGGGTTGGTGCGATTAATGTTAGAAAATAATAAATCAGACTTGTGCGATTTCAAATATTATCAAAGAAACACAAAAGAAAAGTGATGTAAAGTAAAACAAAAAAGCTTGAATTATATTTACACATTAAACATAATATTCAACTGCACATATTTAACAAATTTTCACGTAATAATAGTCGACAAGATCTATAGATTTATAGTTTGGCGAAAACTACATTTTTAAAGTTATCATTAAGAGAAAAAAATTGAAATTTATTGTTCGTATTGGTTATTGAGTATTAATGTGTTTACGGAGTCGACGTAATAAATAAAAGGATTTACTTCATAGTGAATTCAGATAGATAAATTCAATTTTTATTTTGGCCTTGTAATAAATGAAAAACATTTTTTACCTACTGAAAATGTCGATAGATGTATAATATACGCTTTATATAATAGTATTAAATATTAACGCGGGTAGGTACGCGTATTGTTTAAGATTTGTAAAATTTAGTAAAATAAAATAAATCAGAAAACAATCAAGGTGTAAAATAATTTAATAAAAAGATACATAAAAAATAATGTAAAATAAAATAAATCAGAAAAACCGTTAAGTTAGAGAATGAAGTAAAAGATATCTACGATTATAAGATATCTAAACATTGTTTCTCATGATCCGAGTACGTGAGTTTCAAAAATACAACGGTTTCTCATATTTTTTAATATGTGTATCAAATTTTGATTGCAGTTGAATATTTTGTCGTCATCTATCGAATTGTTTTTTAATTTACGAATAAATATTATTCAAGTGTTAGATTGAAATACATCTAATGTTAGAATTTATAGTATACAGGGCGTGTCGCGAGAGTTTATCAACTCTGATTCAAAAATCGACTAACCTTCGCGACACGCCCTGCAGAGCCCTTGATTCAGCCGCCGACCGCGAGACAATCGAACGATTACTAAATAATCATATCACGTTTAAACCAATTGATTAGAAGGTAGGTATACCTATACCGGTAATGTTTACTCGAAAGCGTTCTAATAAAACGACAAAAAAAAAAAAAATAGTTACGCAATTCTCTGCGAGTTATTGAAATAATACGCAGGAGCGATAATAGTTTCGATTGTTTCGCTTCCGGCTGCTGTAAAACATTGTATATAGTTGCAGTTCAAAACCAATCAATGATTTCGACTGACAATTATTTATTATTATAATATATGGTGGTATCATATCATGATATTAGTGATTAGTAGTATAGTAATTAATATTGTTGAGAGATTTCAGCGAGACCGTTGAAAACACTTACGTCGAGCGGTTTCTTTAAAACGATCCAACCGGATTCCGGTTGGATCTCGAAGTAGTCCAGATCGTCGCCCGGGTACGGGGCGGTCAGCGAATAGACGATCGCTCCGTTATTGTCGGCGTCCTCGTCGGAAGCAGACACTCTCAGGATGTTCGTACCGATGCTGGCGTCTTGTTTCACGTTCTCCACGTATTTCTATACAAACAGAGGGTTGTGGACGAATCCACCGAGTTTTAGTAAATTCCGCACCACACGTGACGATGACGAGTCCAGCGATCGAATTGTGATGGGGGGGGGGGGGGGGGTCGCAGGAGGACGGACCTCCCTACTATATATTTTTTTGAATTTTTGGATTTTACACAGACCAGGGGTACCGCACAAACTAACGCTTGAAATAATTTTATTGAAATGTGAATTTAAATACTGTTGTCAATGATATATAGGTGCTCAACGAATTTTTGTAGTATTTAAAATCTTGGAACGCAAAAGCGCAAAACGGGTCTGTGTTTTATCATTTTTCACTTGGAACGCAGTTTCACTATTTAATAACTAACTCTACTTAATTTTTCCCAATTCGAGCACTGAGACGATAACATAGTAAGTAACTCGTTCAGTTCCAGGCCATATTGACCCTTACGATTTCAGCAAAACCGAGGGATGACCGAAAATCATATTAAACTAATGTAATTTGTGATGTAACAACTTGAATGTTTTTAATTGTTTTGAAAAAGAAAAGATAACATAAAAGTATGTCTTTAACCAGCAACCTTATAATAATATGTACCACGTCCCACAATGTAATCTAAGGTTTGACAAATTTGATAACCAGAATTTGGTTATTTTCATACTATTTATTGTCGCGAGTGGCTACAATGATTTTTAATTGGATTTTGGTAAACAGTGACCTGCGAGGGCCAAGATGAACTGAACGAGTTATAACATCGAGTAAAATATTATTTTATTACTTGACGGTCGAACAGTGGTGGATTGTCGTTGACGTCGGTTATCTCGACAGTGAAAGAGCAAACGCCTTCCAAAGACGGATCTCCCTGGTCGGTAGCTTTAATCGTGACCGACACGAATTTGCCGTCATCACCTTCTCGATCGAACACCTGCAATCGATTTCACAAATTATAAGCTGCGGGTTAGGTTGTAATTTGAGACACTTTTATGTAATAGGTATAATAAACAGGCCAATAGGATATCAACAATTAATAAAATGTCAAATGGTACTTGCATGACACGACATCCGAAGCACAAGCTTCGCCTTGCGCTGGATGCACTTTAAAAGCTTACCTGCATATTATGGTTTTTATGATAAATAATCCCGTTTGTACATTAACTATTGATTTCGGGTTTCCCAAATTATTTGTTTTTTCTTTTAATTTGTATCAAACAATCATAGCAATGTAATATAACGATTATGCTTAGTGTGTTATACGGTAGACTAAGAGTGAGCTGCAGGTATCTTTAAAATTCATAAAATGACAATTCCGTAAACAACAATTATTGCAATTATTTTGCACAGAAAGCATATTTTGGGGAATATTTAAGTTATTGCATAATACTTCTTATATTTGATCAAATACAATACGGGCCCAATTACGCACATTATGTTATTTGGAGATACCTATAACTGCAGTTATTAAAATAACACTTTCATTATCGTTCATGAAAAATATACAATAACTGTATTTACTATATACGAAAAAGCCAAGGGAACTGATGGTCAGTTACGACAGTTTCATCATTCTAAAAACAACGGGGCGATTGGACATATAATTATTATAATTGCTAAAAGGAACACGGGACGGTTATAACAAGCGTAGACGGGAACTGAAATCTTTATACCGGGATGGCAGGGGGAGGCATCCCCATTAGTAAGTTTTAACTTTTAATTGAAACATTAGACTACACACCCTGTTCCTGCTGAATGTGATAAGCGCACTTGACGTGTAACGTAAGGAAAGCAAATTAAAAAAAAAAATGTCTACGTCTAGCTAGTGTTTGTGTGTATGCGTCCCAGTGAACCGTCCCACGCTCAAAATGAAACCTGACAATTAATGGATGACTTAGGGTGAAGAGAGAACTGGAAATTTTAAGCTCTGCTGAAATTGTTCGTGACAAATCCAAGGATTTCAGTACTTACATTGAATGTTAGTTTCTCAATTTGAAAACGAAAATGTATAGTGACCGATAAAATGTAATAGGTACCGAAATCGGAGCACTGCAGCAGAGTAATATCGTTGATTAAGGATAATAATATAGTGAACGAGATAGAATTACAGTAAGAACGCGTGTAAGACATGAAATGTAATTAAGGAATACAAAGCTCTAAGCCAAGTCTTCAAGCCCCTAGACAATGACAGTATTGAGATAATCTCATAATACACGAGGGCTGACCAAATGGCTGCTGGCGGACGAGGAATTAATTTTTTCTATGTTGAAGCTTTCACTAATATTCATCATTTTATTTTTTATTTTTATTCTTTGTCTTTTTTTCTTTCTTTGGATAAACATACCATACCTAGTAAATTGTGTAAGTGTGCATTAAATTTTGAATTCCTTAAGACCTAAACACAGTGGCTCTCCAAAAACTAATAACTGGTGATCCCTGTCGTAACACAATATATTGAATCGATTTCGGGTATAATCGTTTAGTCACACACCGTTTCATCAGTTCTGGGAAGTTTTCCCATAAACTCACCCGAACAAATAAAACAGCATTATACAATATAATGCACCTATCACATAACAATCGATAACGCCATAATGGGACCAATGTCATAAATTTACTTTTACTTTCCACGCCGATAAATTGTATTCAAATCGAAAACGGTGTCGGTGTCAAAAATGTCGTATTCGTTCGAAACGAAAGCGAATTAGAGAAAAAATTTGACGGTTAAAATTGTAACGCTATATACACTAGATAATATAATAATATATATGTATATTATATTATATATAGGTAACTACAGCGGTATCGTTTTATTACCGCGATTTTACACTATAGGTATCGGAAAGTGTGGAAAACGTAGCCAGAAAGGCATAATAAATAATCATTGTATAGTGGTCGTACCTTGTTGGTGGACACTTCGCCGGTTTCTTCGTCGACGGTGAACTTTGTGCCTTTTTGATTCGGCTGCTGGACGATCGAGTATTTCACTTGACCGTTGACGCCTTTGTCCTCGTCAGTCGCGTGCACCTGCGGGTCAATTATTTTCACATCATAATAGTATTATTAAAATATTAATTAACATTCTGTGCCGAACGGTCGCGGTCGAGCGATCATATTATAATACCGATAATCCATAATATATAGACCTATATACAATGTAATGAACAGAGCTTTCCACTCCGCCCAACCATAGAGGCTAGGTGACCGAGTATAAAATACGAGAGACAACGATCACAGAGTAAAGTTATAGGTTGTAAAAATCATGGATAAGTATACTTTTTTTTTAAATTTCCGCTACCAATATTTCGCTAATTAATAATGGGTATTGCAACAAAATTATTTCATTTTGCTGCAGATGGCACATATTATATTGAGTTCTACTACTTTGTCCCTTTTTTCTTTCACTGTCCATCATTCTCACTCTCTTGAAAATATTCTTCTCTCTCTAAATCGCTATCCATGAGTTATTGTAGGTCTATGATGATAACTTCATAATATTTTTATGATACATATTATCAGTGAAACTACTACCACATAACAAACTTTCAAAAAAAATTTGTTCAACCAATTTCTCAATAACACGAATTGTTATTTGTTGCCCAAGAAACTTCGTAATTTGGAGGTTTGACTGTACTTGATCGATCAAAGTGTACCCAGCGATCGACTTGTGGTATAGTGGTATATTAAAATTATGATTAGAGTTTGGATTTTCATCTTATTCTTTTTAATGTTTGACATGATGTTTTCCATAATATAATGTGTCTTATGTGTACAATATATCAAAACAATGAATTTTTTTTTGGTTCAGTTTTTGAATTTTTCGATGTTTTTGATTTTAAATGCATTTTTAAACCTTTTTAGGTACTTAATTTTTTTTTAAACTATTTTTAGTAATATTAAGAAAAAAATTAAAAAATATAATTTATAAATACACATATTGTACTAAAACAACATAAGATAATCTAATTTTTAATTAAAACGATCCACAAATTTATCTTGATTTCTGAAGAAATCGTGGTTCAATTTCAGTGACTTTTTCGGACATTTTTAAGAGCTTTAAGGTTATAAATTCATTTTTTTGAAAAGACATTTTTGATATTTTTAAGGGCATCTAAACCCAAGTCCTAATTATGATACATTTGGCATTGTTGTAGCAGGTGATCTAAGATTACATGCAATTTACTAGGTACTATAATATATATGAGACAGTGATTGATTCACCACAAGACTCGAAACGTACAACTGATTATTAATATTATTAAAATGTATTTTTTATTAGTAATTATTCTGCAATGTTACGAAAACTATAGGCAGTTATCTACAACAGTTATCTACAAAATAAATAAATCAAATTGTCAGATAAAAATTCATTTAAAATATGAATTGACATTAGTGTAACTTCATTACACTTATTCTTATATTCATAGATGGGTACTGTAACATTGTTGTTTAAATTTTACGTAGGTACCTACGTTGATCAAGATCAACATTAAAATAAATTATCGGCATTTGACCTAAAGTCCGTTTGTATCATATTTATATAATATAATAACTTTAATAATAGTTGATACTGGATAATAAGAGAAAAGCAAACTTTATCGACTTCTCGTCTCCACTACTTTACTGAAATAGACATCTTCATCTTCATGTAAGTATAACAGTAAGTATACAATTTTTATACAATTTCATATAGATCACTGCCGATTACACTTAACGTCAGACGCACCTCAGGATTTATGTTCCGGGGGGCTTCTAATTTTTCCTACATTCCCTTACACACAAATACACAATTACCACAAATTCTACTTTCATCATGACCTGCACAGAGGTCGTCATTTAAATTTTTTTATGTAAACTGAGGCTTGGGTAAATTGTACATAGGTATTTGTAAATTGCGGATCGAGTTTATTTTGAATATATATTAACAATATGTAAATTGAGGCCTAAATATTTTTATTCACACGTCCATAGAGATATTTTTCAAACTGAGAACTGGCTGCAATGTACAATAGTGTTAATTTTCATATGGTTTGAAACATTGGTTTTGATGTTGTTTATAATTAAAAAAAATGTCTTTTTAAAAATTACTACATGAACTGTAATAAAATTGTACAAATCGAGTCTTAATTTACGTAGTAAATCGACTGTGAACTTTTTTGGGAGATGAAATTTACGTACTTTTATATCGACAGTTGGCTGTAATAATAATAATTTATATTGTCGTTATCGATCTGAGGTTACGGCCTAAGACCACCCGACCTAATCACCAATATATGAATCCAAAAATAACTTTCAACGATATAATAGATCAGCGGTTGTTACAATGTCCTCATCGAGTAAAATATATATTATGATGATGCAATGTAAAAATAGTTTCTTTTGGGAAGAGCTTCAGCCCCTACCCTTCCCCTCTTCCGGGTGCGAACTTCTGAATTTCAAAAGGTAGATCACAGTTGCTGCACCCCGAATTATATCCATTTTTTTTATTTTAATAATATTATAACACGACTTGTCGCGTCCTCCGTACCTTGAGCACTGGACTGCCGTTCGGCGCGCCCTCTTCGACTTTTGGGTTGTACTTGGCGCATTCCCTGAACACCGGTTTGTTGTCGTTCACGTCCGTGATGAACACGACCACTACCGCGGTACTGGTGTGTATGGTCGTCGCGCCGTTCACGCAACACGCACCGTCGTCCACGGCGGTCACGTTCAGCTCGTACTTGTCCCTTTCCAGCGATATCGATTTCGAGTGCAGCCGGATCACCCCGGTGATCTCTTCGATGACGAACTGACCGGACGACGTACCACTGCCCACAAATCCAAACCTGAAAGCACGTCCGAAGTATATGGTTATTGTACGAAACAAAACGGGTTATCTGCGAAAGTTTATTTTGTTTTAATCAAATTAAATTTAGCCTCTGTGACTATATGGATATTGGCTTTTATATAGCCAGTACATTTAATTGTATTCGCCTGTGGCTATATTATTGGATTGATTCGGAATTATTAAGGAGGATAATAATAATATAACGATTGAACGATTATTGTATTATTGAAATATTATATAGTTCGATATTAGGTGCCCGATATACTTGCATAGTGAGACGTATGTGTTCTCCAATCTCCACATTATTTACTTGAGCCCCCTCCCTTCATCAGCACTAGCATTTTAATCTCTAACATCGAAATACAATATGTTTATTAGAATCGAGATGGGGATTTTTGGCACTTGGTTTTCGATTTCAAAAATAGCTAAATATTTTATTACAATAATTGTTGAACATTTCAAAGCAGGTTGGTATAAGAATTTTTGTTGGGATTTTTCATATTGAACGTACATTTTAAATAACTAAAAAACACGAGTATGGATTGTTCCGTACTTACAGTTTCCAACAAAAAAACTTGATATCTCAAACGATCGATCGTTAAAAATTAATCGAAAAAACTGTTATAATACGAGAGATACGAATCAGTATAAAAATATCAGAACCAATGTCATGTAAATTAAAAAAATTTAGTTGATTGGAAACATGCATCATATGAACGTTTTTAATTGGTAGGAGACATTCAAATTAAAAAAAAAATTGTCATGCTGCTGCCTATAAAATAGATTGAATATTCAACACGGTTATATACACGGCCTTGTCGTCCTACGAATTATGTACATATATTTTATTTGAAACTTAGGCTTACATAGATATTATAAGATTTTCAAAAATATCGGTATAATACCTATATGATTCGACTTTTTAAATATGCACATAAATTATGATTCATCAAAAACTTGAAAAGAAAAATCATTTTTTCGAATATAGATAAATTAAAAAATTCTTATTGACTGTAATGATATGATGTTATCTTAATAATTGAGATAGTTTCATAAATGATTTGACTGAAAAATATTAAGTTCACGTAAAATGCGTACTTTACAGTCACTTAACAATATGTATGAGTAGGTATACGTCTTTAACAATAATAGTTAATGAGGTAGCTTGATAATATTATTGTTTTAAAATTAAATAGAGATATTTCACAGAAATTCCATAAAACATTTCATTTATGTGAAAAAAAATGTTTATTATAACATCTAAAAGTATATCTATAATGGTCATACATTTACAGAGAGAGAACATTTTTAAAAGTTAGTTTATTGTATCGAATACTCATAAATAATTAATGAATAATAGCCAATAGGGACCTCATCGATAAATATTAATAAATTAACAGATACTAATATAAATAATATTATAATACCATTCATACCTAATTTATAACTATATTGTAACACAATAATTCGTTATTCTTAGTTGATAATAATATAATAATATGTAAGTCGTTCATTATCGAACTTTTCTGTGTGCAATCAATAATCATTTCTAATCATAATAATATTATACAACCGAATAAGTTTTTTTTTTTTAAATATGTATTATTTTTTCATGATTTCTTCGAAATATGTTTTCACGAAGCTTGACATTTTTAATTCTGAATTATTTCAAATGCAGAACCCCCCGTGGACCTATAAACTATAGTATTTGTGTAGTATCACGCGTACCTGACGTTGTCTCCGTCCTTGTCCGAAGCCACCACCGTGGTCACCAGCGTATTGGGACCGGCGTTTTCGTCAACGTTCGGAGTGTATACTTGCTGCGAAAACTTTGGCTCCTCGTCGTTTTTGTTCTTCGTGTAAATCCTTATGGTGGCCGTGCCCGTTTTCGAAGGTTCCCCTGTAATGCACACACACAAGCGGTCGTACAGTAAATAAGTTTTGGGCGTCATCGTCGTTTGTTTCATAATAAAATTATTATTAAAATAAATTATCGTCACGTCTTCCCTACTGGGGTATAATATTATATGTAATGCGGGTGACAGTCGTCAGACGTCCGCTTCCGAAATAATAATAATATGTATAGTTAGATGTTATCTAACTAAACAACTGGTGTGTCCGTTGATTACCTAATTACGCTCGCACCGGGTACAATATTATATAGAATTATTATACCGGTACAGTGGTTTATCATAGGCTTGGCGTCGTCAACAGTCGTGGTCGTCAGTCGTCCGTCAGTTTAGCTGGACTGACGTGTTTTTTACTTCAAATACTCACTACTCCCGAGTAGAGTTGATGGTATCGAAATCGGTTACCGGTATTGCGGTATCGGGGTCAAGTGATGTGGTATCGAAAAAACAGTCAACCACAGTCTTGGAGTGGTATTCCGAACAACGAATATCGAAAGTACACGATCACAATAGTTTTATTATCGAGTTGTAACAGTATTATAACGAAATTGGATATTGAAACGTAAAGTTGAAATTTTTGCTCTCAAACAATTTAAGTAATTTTGCAGCGTAATTAAAAAATATTATTAAGCGTAGAAACTTTGAAACATTCTACACAGCGGAATTTTCAAAATATTCGGACTAATTATGTTAGAGGTAATATACCTTTATTATTTTATATAGTATTTAATTATTATTAATTTATCTCGGGCATTAAATCCTATCCTACACGGCACGTCGGCGATATTAGTTGTAAAATACCTTAGTGAAGTTTCGGAAAAAAATGTATTTCCACGCACTGAATTAAAAGAAAAATATATACGCCCGTCTTGTGATAATGCGAAATAAACTCGAACTATATCCTCGGAAATAGACTCCGATTTCGTATGCAATTATTTTTGATTTAATTCGAATTCAATACATGCAGCTGCTGCAGTGACCTACTCAACGGTGAAGTATATCACATTCTAAATCTATAATGTGCCTACGCTGTATAGTGTATACACACAGCCGAGCGACTTCTACGGTCTTAGGTTTATTGCTGTTGTTATTGTTTGATATTATTATAATTTGTTTTCTCGGTTTAGACTTATATAATATATAGGCGCACATAAATAATTCTTAAATCGACTGAACCGCAGTTGTAAAGCGCGATTGCCATATTATACGGTTTCATTGGCAGGAGGGATGATAACTATATGTATTACGTGTACCGGATGCAATAATCATAATGATGGATGTCATACGCGCCTGAATGATAAATAATATTATAATCGTTACAATAAAGTGTAAGTACATAATATTATTATTATGAGGGTCGTTGGCGGACGGTGGTAGCGGTATTTCTAGCTCTGTCAAACCACAGAAATATAGTTTAGACACCATCTGTTCCGTCAGAGATATATCATATATATCTATATGTACAGTTTTGTACGCGGACTTGTGAAAACCACGTAGGTACTCGACGATTTGTCTAAATTACAGAGTGCAGTAGTTTCCGATTCCCAAATATTAGCCTCGGACCCCAATACAGCTGAGACGTCATCTCATCGGGAAAATCCCTTTTTGCGTGTACACTATAATAATACGGTTGTGCGGAAAGTGCAGGCCCCCTCACAGGGTTGAGCTAGTCATAATTAATGGGTTTTTTTTTTCGGGAAAAGTATGATATGGAAGCGAAAAAACGACCTCATACCTTTGTCCTTGGCGGTCAAGACGAATTCGTAATAGGCGTTATTGTTGTCGGCGTCCAATTGCTTGTTGTTGTTGACGATGCCCGAAGCGTCGACGGCGAAATGATCGTCGCTCACGTGGTACTCGATCTCTGCGTTCTCGCCGGAGTCCGCGTCCATGGCTTTCACTTTCAGTATGGACGTCCCGAGTGGGATGTCTTCGTCCACGTTGTGCGCCTGGTAATCGGGCAGCTCGAACTTGGGCGCGTTGTCGTTGACGTCCGTCACGCGAATGGTGAGCTGAGAATAACAATAATAATTCACTGAGAGTGTCGGGTGATGGGGTGTTTGGGGCACGCAAATAATATAAGAACGGATAGGTCGAGATAGGCCATCGACGAGATAAGATGTCGCGGCCCGGAACGGGGATGAGAGCCGTGCGAATTGTAAGTTCCCGCAAGAGACCCAACTGGTAAAAATAATACATGCGGCAGAAGTGGTATAATGTGTAAGTCTCCGAACGGAATAAGAAAAATATATTATTACCTATAAATGTAATGAAGCGTGGTAATTTTTAATACACGAATTTAGTTAGTGACATTGTCGAAAGAAATAAAAAGTAAATGTTTGATGTGCAATGTGCATCATCCATAATAATTGTATTATATTTATTATTTAATTATATTTTATAGATTTACAAAACTTGGATTTTAGTAAGTCATTCGTTATTTATTAAGTTTATATCGATAAAAATCAGTTGAGCTGACTGAAAAGTTAAAATTAAATTTAGGACTTTTCTAAAATAATATAAAAATAAAATAACAAGAACATTTCATACATTTTATAATTCAATAATTATTGAAACGAAAAATGTACTATATAATATACCAACCTACATTTTTGTATAATAATATAAGACATTAGTTATATTCTAACTGATCAAATAATATTCTTACCACATTTTTAATTATTATATTTTTGAATTATAAAATGTTTGAATATGAAATTTATGAAATCTACATATTACGATATTTTATATAATAATATATTTTTCTGCAGTGTAGGAACTTATATAACTTATTTTTATATTCGTGTTGGGATTTCCACATTTCATTTTTAAGAATTAACTTATGTTATATTGTACCTGCTACTTTTGTGTAAAAACTTACGATTTCAAAAGACAGATAGCTTCTATATAGTGCTCAAACTCCAGCAATATCCACATGCCCATTATCGCGTTATATATTTTGGTGGCCCTATCTATTTTTATATTACGAGGAAGATAGGATACGTAGTTATGTAAAATAGTAAACATTAGCTTTAAAAAAACTTATTAATATTGTGGATAAATGAAAAAAAATAATAATATTCTATTAGGTTTATTGCTTATACAATATTGATACACCATTATCCGTTCATCTGAACTTTTAATACTTATGACACTACGATAAACAACTTGACTTGAAAAATATTACGCTTTCGAATATGAAATTAAAAATGTATGCAATCGTTCAAAAGGGTAGAAAACTTTTCAAAAATGATAACGATCATAAAAAAAATGAATTAAAAAAATATGATTTTTTTCTAATAATGTTGTTTTTTAACGACTCCACATTATTATATAGGTACACCGTTTAAAAACGTTTGTTTTTTCTAGAACATATTTGCGAGTATCTTACATGGACCATCTTAAATGGATTACCCAGTGTTACACTAGCTATTATCAATTTCGATATTTAAGCTCAATAATTACATTTGTTAGAAAGCTTTAACCTACGATATTATTATAACCGAGAGTGACGTACCTCAACGGACGTTGAAAATCCACCGGAATCCTCGGTAGCTGTGACGATCAGCGAGTACACGTGTGGTTGTCTCAAATCCTCGAAATCCAATTCCTTGGCCAGTTTCACGATGCCCGATGTCGGCCCGATATTGAAAGTCCCGGCGCCTTGGCCCTGCGCTTTAAGCGTGTAACGTATCTCTCGGTCGGCAAACGATTTAGCTTTCACTGATATGATGCTGCAACAGAATATAAGAGAACGATGAGAAAATTTAAAAAAAAAACAACGGGAAATTGTGCTCGCTGCTATGTATTATTATTTTCTTCGCGTAAACCTTCCGATGGTTGTACGAGAACTACTGCTATACAGCTGCAGCGGTGCCTGCGTCCATACTTACTCGGAGTCTTTTCTCTGGTTCTCCGGTATTTCCGCTTCGTACGACTGCATGTAAAACTGCGGAGCTCTCTTGCCGCCGACGATCGACAGACGTTCTTCGGGCGTCGACTGAAAACGGCGCTCGTCCATCCTACCGTTCTGGTCTTCGGCTTTCACGTACAAAACGTATTCCATGTCCAACTGAAACGGGTCGGTACCCCTGGTCCGGACGACGCCTGACCGCTCGTCCACCTCGAACCTCCCACCGGCTGTTGACGGAAAATCATGTTATATCGAAAGTCGTTTGAAAACCTTGGCAAGTGGGCAATCTAATTCTAAATGGCTCTCTAGCTTCCCCTATACGTCTCATGTCACTGACCCCCCCTCCATTCCCACAACTATAACTATTACATATAACGATAACACTATATAACTATAGTCATATTTTTGTAAGTATCTGTTTTGTAATCGAAAATTAGTAATTCGGTGTGAATTTGTAAGTTTAGCCGTTTTGATTAGCATAAAAGTTTATATCACTGACAACTCTTTGAAAACATGGCCTTTTTGTCATTTCAAAATTTTTGGCTGTATCAAAATGTTGTGCGCGATTCATAAGACAACACCTGCCTTAATTTCCAAAAATAATGAAGTTAGACTTGCTTTATATAGTTTTTCGAACTTTGTAAGTTCGAAAATGTTGTGCACGAATTCAAATTATTTTATTTTTTTACTGTCCATCACTATTCTTTCCTTAATTAAATCTCCCGACAGGAAGCAGGCAGCTTTGACAATCATTTTTATAAATTGTGAGATTACAATGATATAACAAAATTCATGTTCCATTATGTTTTTATAAACGAGAGCAAAAACAGATGTACATTTTACCGTATCCGTTAACTAAATATATGTATATTTTGTTTAGAGGACGCTATCTGTGAATTTGATTTGATGAAGGAGATTCTTACACACACTTTGAAATAGCAAATTGCCTTCCAAAGTGTGTTGTTATTTTTGATATCAGAGTGAATATTATCAAACTTTTAGGCGAGAACATTATTATCTGTGCTTAAACGTCGGCAATTTTTTCTATATTTTAATTTTCATATGGGCATGTGAAATACTATAAATTAAAAATGCTCATACCTCGTTTGAAAGTTAAAATATCGAATAAAAACCTACTCTTAAGCACAGATAATGTTCTCACCTAAAAGTTTGATAATATAGGTCAAATTCGCTCGAATATCAAAACTAACAGCACACTATTGAAACTCGAGAACGAAAGACCGTAGGTTTGTGAGACTGAGACAGCAAACGCATGATGGGTTGTATCCCTTTGATCGTGCGGAGAATTTTTAATAAAATAGTAAGTAACTATTATCTGTTTATTATTAAATCCTTATTATTATTATACCTAATAAAAGAAAAATCAGTGAAGTGTTCACAATTTCCAATATCATCCCTCAAATATTCCCGAAAACCTATTATAATAAACTGCAGGGCTTGAAATCAAAATGGAAAATGTTGATTTTAATTTCAATTTCACTTATTGATATTTGTTTTTTTTTTTATTTAAATTAAAAATAGTGTATTGATATAATAATTTTGTGAGTATTATAATGTTGCACAACATAAGTTTTATTGTGATATGATTTTATTAATTAGACTGTAATCATCATTTTTTTCCTTTTTCGATTTAAAATAAAAAATGTACTATATTTTCAGACTACGAAAAACCAGTTTTTATTTGTAGAGATATTTATTAAGATTCAGAAAACAAAATATCGGTTATTTATTATTTTATCGACACATGAACAACATTATAGACCTACCGACAATTGTTGTATTTTAAATTAAAAGGTTTAATTTTTGATTTAATCACTTAAATTATTTGAATATTATAAATATTACAAAAACGGCTATTATGTCGGTATTAAGTTAATAGTCACTATTAACTATCGATTTTAATTTGATATACTGTTTTCAGAGGCTTCATTTAAACTTTTTCAATTTTATGCTAACAATTAGGCGGGAAAAAAACTTCCAATATATATTGTGACTATACAGAGTTATATAACTCTCGAAAATTAGAATCACTATATTTTCCATCCAATAATCTAATATATTGTTAATATGGTATAGGTACCTCTAATAGTACTAGGTTTATCGGTACTCGGTAGACACTTCAGTTACTTCAATTCAAATATCTATACACAATATTGTACGAAAAGCATTGTAGGTATATAAAGCAAATTAAGAAATCCTCAGTCACCTTTAAAATATCACATGACCATCAAGTTGTCAATTCCCGAGATCAATCAAAAAAAAAAAAAAACATCATATTTATCCGGTACGGAAAAATGATAGTCAGGCCAAAATGCAATCACAATCAATATTTTCGGTGTTCATGTAAGCATACGCCGCAACAACCTCAAACGACGCCACTGATTGTGAATATCATTGGAAAATAAATTTTAGTTTGATCGATATTTAAAATCCCTGTTGAACAATGACCGTCTCCGAATACGTACTTCTGTCCCTGACGATGAAGTAATGTATGCTGTGGTCGGTGTCCGGATCGCGTGCCTGGAGAGTGAATATCGGCGTGTTTGGCGGCGCGTTCAACTGCACCACGGCTTGCATGGGCAGCGGCCGGTTGATGAAGTACGGAGGCTCGTCGTTGACGTCTTTCACGTGAATGATAACCCTCTGATTGTCCGTATCTGGAAAACATGCGACAAAAAAATGTTATCATAGCATATTATAGGCACCCACGTCCGATCAGTGTCAGATCCGATTCGTCTGAAAAACAAAAACTAAAATATGTGAAGATGTGTTCTATAAAGAGCGAGGAAAACGTAACATTCCATGCGGTATAATACAACCGTGTACTTAACACGTAATAATAATATACAGTGGTACGTGCAAGGCCGTCGGGGGCAAGCGTGCGGCCGCTCCCAAAATCGCTGGATTTTTGTTTTCCTCCTGCAAACGCCCACGAATACCTACGACTCGTACTATGGACATGCTTGTAAATACTAAATAATATGTAAGACGAACGCGTAGGGCGTAACTGGAAAATTTGACAATATTACATTGGAATTCCAACTCGACATCATAACGCCCGTGTGTGGTCAGATCTCCGGGGTATATATTATAGTAATGTAGTGATTAGGGTTTTGAAATGACATGAAATTAATTTTCTTGTAGTCCTTCGTTTATAGGTGAAAAATTAAAATAAAATAAAAAATTGTGTATTATATCTAAAAGTTAAGTTGCAGCAAGAGAACATTTTTAAAAGTGTGTATCAAATACTAATGAATAGTAGACAACGATCAACCTTAGTTGATCAGTCATTCATTAACGATGTTTTCTGCGGGTAATCAATAATATTATAATTTATAATCATAAATACTTATTACAATTCGTAATTTCAAAGAACACATTTATTTACCACAACTTAATTGAAATATCATTACAAGAAGAGTGAATTTTTAACTGTGAAATATTTCAAATTCAGACGTCTATATTTATACATCAATATTCAAAAATGTAAATATCACGAAATAATTTATGTTTACTCGTCAGAATATAACGTGAAAATAGCGAATGCCTGACTCTACAAAATCTAAGGTCTTTCAATTGTGCAATAATTTATTTAGTTTAAAAATCTCAAAATATGCATATATTTAAGGTATTCTAGGAAAATCGGCGGAATTGATGGACATCGCTTTTATTTACACATTAACTTGCCATATAGGTACCTACCTACTTATTCATTAAATATTATTGTATGATTCTTATACGGATCAAGCCGTCGTTGGGTACTTAAGTCAATCAACTTAGTTGTAGCTTGTTAATATTATGATATTCTTGAATTCTTAATATGATTTTTGGTTATTACTTCTTGCTTATAGTGTCCTTGATATAGGTACGTTCTATAGTTTACCCCAATTAAATATTGAGATTTAACATGTTAGGTTTTTATCAATAATATAAACTATTACTTAATAATTTTGCTGGTAAAAATATTTTTCCGATAGATACCGTAATCGTGAAATGTTTCAGTTTTTAATGCATAGATAGTGATTTTTGGGGACATAAATACATTTATATTTCGAGGTTTTTTAGGGTGAATCTCGAAACATAAAAAAAAAATACATTTTTATGACATATACTGCTTTCTATAAATACGCCAGTTTGCGTTCAAGTATGAAATGGTGTTATTTCGTGAAATAATATCTATATACGAGTAGGTACCAATATACTGAAACCCAGTGGTCGGAAATTAGTTTCTAAGGTGGTCCGGATGATATGAAAAAAAAATCGAAATCCGGAAAACCTTTTTTTTTACTATATGAGGAATATGTTTTGTGGAGATACAAACTTCTGTTTTCCAAATGAAAGTTTTCTGTAAATTATTTTTAATAATTTTTCCCAAAATATTTTCAAAATCAAAATTCGAACGAGTAACCTTAATGCTTACATGAACGCGGGCGACGTGGCGAAAAATAAAAGTTATTTAAGTTATTTGACTGTTTGTACACTAAAGAAAGTACGTCACTAGTCAGCCTGAAAATGGGTTTGGAAGATATAATAGGGTCTATGGTCATTTGAAAATGTCGTAATAATTAATAACACATGAATAATTTGTAAAATTATTGTCCAAGTATAACAAATATTATAGATGCAATGTTACACCTATTTTATGTATTGTTGTAGAAACCATATTATAAAGGAGTAAATATTTCAATATACAGCTGAGAAACTTCTCGTTCAAATTTCGAATTAGAAAGTGTCACATTTTTCCTTAAATATGATTCAAAATTTAATTTTCAGTAAAAAAAAGTAGGATGTTCTCATTGTGAGACAAAAATAGTCACAACTGCAGGAAACACTTTAAGGCGTAGTACAAAAAAATCTCTGAAATTTTAAAATAATATTATGGTATTTTAAGAAGGTAGGCTTAAAAGTTCCAAAAATCAAATTTCCACTAATAATCTCATTAATTGAAGGCACGGGTGTTGTAGTAGTAAAAACTAGTAAGACTGATTGCACCATACCGAAAATTGCACTGAAAAATAATTAAGTGTCGTTGCGAACGGTTTTGATTCATTGTTAATTCGTTTTGATTTACAGCAGAGTATACTCCATATAAACATTTAATGAGAATTAATTTGAAATAATTTTTTGTCTTTCGTGGGTTGCAACTTGCAGCTAACGAGTGAAAACCAAATTGAAATCGCTCGAACGAAACCGAAAAACGACGATCAAAAATCGTTCTGCAAAACTCGTCGATTCGACGAAATTGAAAAAAAATCCCGAAAAATCGTATGGGTTTTATTATAATAATCTAAAACGCTGCACTTAAACACCGACTCTGCAACAGTATATGCGAATATCGGACCAGCATATTATTATACAGATCGTCGAGATGGTAAAACAGTGTTCAAACATACGCGCAACGCCGTACGCGGGGTGCCCCACGTCGTTATGATAATATCACGTGATACATATTATATATACTATCATCAAAGGTAAAATCGGGGGAGCGGCGGGGGGGGAGTTCGCCGTCGGACGAGAATCGCCCCGTAGGTATTTTATCACGATGTATCGCGTGTATCTTGTACACACAGCTTCGGGTCGTGTTTTAGAACCCACGTCGATCGCATATACCTTCCGCCGCCGTCGGCGAAATTGCCGAAATCGTTCGCTGTTTGACGGGCGCACACAAACGTCCAAAGTTATTCGGCACTTCTGCTCGCGCAATTATCGCCAGCCAATCGGTTTCCGTTTCACTCGCGATCCGCGCACACACGCTCGGCGAACACACATTATACGCGAGTCATAACGCACGTCGTCTCGTCGTGTTTCAAAGTAGTGGAAACTACGTAACGCTACAATAACTACTACGCTATCATCATCAAACGGCAGCGGCGGCGGAATTATTTACTGATATTATTAAATTGCTTGCCAAATAATATTGTACGGCGTGCCTGCGTGTGTGTGTGTGTGTGTGTGTGTGTGTGTGTGTATACAGAGCGTATCGGCATAATTTTCAGACAACGTCCGACGGACGAAATCTCTTTTGTTCTATAATATCGACGCTTTTTAATTGTTTTTTTTTTCATACGATTAACAGAAACTCGCGCTGCGCGTCGTTTCTATTTCTTAATTCTGAAAATAAAAAAATTCCAACCCGACGTTGGTAAACTTTTTTTGAAAAATTCAAAATTGCCAATTATATTATATTAGGTACGTATAAATCTGGTTGTTGGAAACATTTTGACTGTGAGAACTGTCGGGTCGGGCAGTGTAGCTTATTTTCAACATTTTTCGGAAGTTTCATTATTTTTGTTAAGTACCTAAAGTTTTTATTTTCAGTGTTGAAAAATAAAAATTGTTATATCCTACGTTTAGCGCACGAGTCAATATTAATAAAATTGAAAAAAAAAAATTAAAAAATATTGATCAGAACAAAATATGAAATAACTTTTGTTCTAATCAATAACTTTTCTTTTTCCATATAGTTTATACATATAGACACTCGCACTACAAGCACAGTTTAATGTTTTTTATTAACTTTATTAATGGTGAATATTAAAATTTTATTACATCTTTGTTTTAAAAAAAAATTAAAAACTGCTGATCAATGTTTTTTGTGTTAATAGCGTTTAATAAAGTAACATAGCTTAATTCTTATGATTTTTTTAAAATATTAATATATATATTTTTTTAAATTAATTTGATACTTAAAAATCTTATTACAAAATATTTTTTTTGGTAACTTTCAGACAATAACGTGTTATATTATCCACACAATTTTCATAACATTTTTCATATAAATTTCACTAGCATCAATTTTTCATTTTTCATATTTTTTCGGGTCTTTGTGTTACACTCTGTATATATATGTGTATATAATTCGAAACGCAATCTCATTTTACATCGGACAGTCTACGAAAAACGTACTAAAAATATGTATACGCACGATTCGTAACTTATATACGCGTTTAGCCAATAAAACGCCGTAGGACCGTAAACGTATTTAATATCATATATATTATATTCGTTAGCTTATTAAAAATACAAAATATTTTACGACTTCGGAAAAAAATAAACAGAAATAAAATATTATTTAGAGTTTCAGTTTCGGGCCCCGAGCGATAAAAAAAAAATACGGCTATAGATATTGTAGGTTGTTATGAAAAAAAACCCCCTATAAATGCACAAGAGTATAATAATTCACATTTCACATTGATTATGATTATTATTATTATTATTATTATTATTATTATTGTTCAATTATATTATTTATGCACGACAGAGGTCGTTTTTGAAGAAAAATATAGATATGCGTCTGTAATATATTATACAATATGTGTTAACTCATTTCAACGAATTTTCAGAGTGCCTATATATTATAACTTATAACATAATATTAAATAGAATGATTTTGTAATAAATATTAGTGAAATATTACGAGTGATACATTACAAATTAAAGAAATTAAAAAAACTATTGTTGCATTCTACTGACAATATTATTAATTTAATATTATAATGGCGTATGGATGTGTTTCGATGATATTGAAAACCAATCGGAATAAACCGGAAGTAACATATTCAACAAAATATAGGATGATTTTAATAGAAGACTGTTCAAATTTAATTTTTACTGGTTTCGGGTTTTTTGAATTAAACGAATTTATTACATTATCATA